TTTTTCGAACAATCAGGGGCCATAATTCAGAAAGTTACGGTCCGAAATGCGCGAATATCGAAAGGAACCGAGATCTTTGGGTTATAAACTTACATTTCAAGTTTCAACAAAATCGGATAAAAATTGTGACCTCTATAGGGTCCACAACCTTGATATACCATTTTCTTACGCTATTTCAGAACGAACGGCGGTCATTTTGTCTGTCAATTTTGGGCCGATTTTCACGAAATTCGAATTCAGTCGTCCCTAGGGTGTAACGGTGATATAATAATACGTTTTTTTAAATCGGGTAAAAATTATGACTTCTATAGGGTCCACAAGCTAAAAACGTGATTTTTCGTACAATCAGGGTTCATAATTCAGGAAGTTACGGTCTGACATGCTCGAATATTGAAAGGATCCGAGATCTTTGGGTTATAAACTTACATTTCAAGTTTCAACAAAATCGGATAAAAATTGTGACCCCTATAGGGTCCACAACCTTGATATACCATATTCTTACGCTATTTGGGAACGAATGGTGGTCATTTGTCTGTCAATTTTGGGCCGATTTTCACGAAATTCAAACTCAGTCATCCTTAGGGTGTAACGGTGATATAATAGAACGTTTTTTTAAATTAGATAAAATTATGACTTCTATAGGGTCCACAAGCTAAAAACGTGATTTTTCGTACAATCAGGGGCCATAATTCAGGAAGTTACTGTCCGATATGCGCAAATATCGAAAGGAACTGAGATCTTTGGGTTATAAACTTACATTTCAAGTTTCAACAAAATCGGATAAAAATTGTGAACTCTATAGGGTCCACAAGCTAAAAACGTGATTTTTCGTACAAACAGGGGCCATAATCCATGAAGTTTCGATCCGATACATGCCAATATCGAAAGCAGCCGAGATCTTTTGGGGATAAACCTATATTTTAAGTTTCGTCGAAATCGGATAAGAATTGTGACCTGTAGAGAGTCCACAAACAATTGTGGACGGACGGACGGACGGATGTCCGTCCGGACTGACAGGGGCGACGGCATAATACGTCCACATTATGAGTTTAGCATTATCTATATATATATTTGTGACTGTCGTTTGTCTGTCTGTCTGTCTTTCTGTTTGTTCGGGGTTGGCGACTACACTAGGTCTGCCCCGAGTCTGAAATTTGGGGTATATGGGTAGCTCGGACCGTGGAGTAACATAGGCCAGGTGGCGTTAGTCAACCACTTCCGGTTTCGGAGTTATGACCCCCGAGCGAAGCCGGGTATCCTGCTAGTATATATATATATATATATTTGTGACTGTCGTTTGTCTGTCTGTCTGTTCGGGGTTGGCGGCTACACTAGGTCTGCCCTGAGTCTGAAATTTGGGGTATAGGGGAAGCTCGGACCGGGGAGTAACATAGGCCAGGTGGCGTTAGTCTACCACTTCCCGTTTCGGAGTTATAACCCCCGAGCGAAGCCGGTCTGTTCGGGGTTGGCGGCTACACTAGGTCTGCCCTGAGTCTGAAATTTGGGGTATAGGGGTAGCTCGGACCTGCGAGTAACATAGGCCAGGTGGCGTTAGTCTACCACTTCCGGTTTCGGAGTTATGACCCCCTCAGCAAAACCGGGTATCCGTCTGTCTGTCTGTTCGGGGTTGGCGGCTACACTAGGTCTGCCCCGAGTCTGAAATTTGGTTTATAGGGGTAGCTCGGACCGGGGAGTAACATAGTCCAGGTGGCATTAGTCTACCACTTCCGGTTTCAGAGTTATCACCCGCAAGCGAAGCCTGTCTGTTCGGGGTTGGCGGCTACACTAGGTCTGCCCCTAGTCTGAAATTTGGGGTATAGGGGTAGCTCGGACCGGGGAGTAACATAGGCCAGGTGGCGTTAGTCTACCACTTCCGGTTGCGGAGTTATGACCCCCGAGCGAAGCCGGGTATCCTGCTAGTGTATTAATAAAGGGATAATAGGAGCAGATAGAAATGTCAGACCCTTAATTTCCCAGTAAACACTCATCAGCCATGCCATTACTATATATATTTGTTAAACATTTCTCCTTCAAATTCGTTACGGTACATGTACCTTGAAATTATATCTGCTAACATCTTCATCAGGTGATCATTACACCTACATCTTATGTTCTTCTCTCTTTAATTTGTCTCCAAAATAAACCCAGGTCCCCCCAAAAATTACCTTTTTCCAACCAGGATTCAAATCTATCTAGATTACCGATATATATATATACCGATATGTATTGAGGTGACAGAGGTGTGTCAGAAATATGAGATAAGCATAAACAAAACAAGGATATACTGATTCACTTACATAACACTGTCATATCCGCAAGGCAAATAGAAAAATATATTGGGAGATAAGACAAATATTTCACATTAGATTTTGATCATTTTTTATAAAATAATGAACCAGCAGCTACCAGGCAGGATACGCCCACATTTTCAAGAGATGGAGATAGAACAAGCTAAAAAGAAAGCAATTTTTTGTACAGTCAGGGGCCATAATTCAGGAAGTTACGGTTCGATATGCACGAATATCAAAAGGAACCGAGATCTTTGGGTTATAAACTTACATTTCAAGTTTCAACAAAATCGGATAAAAATTGTGACCTCTATAGGGTCCACAACCTTGATATACCATATATTTACGCTATTTGAGAACGAACGGCGGTCATTTTGTCTGTCAATTTTGGGCCGATTTTCACGAAATTCGAACTCAGCCATCCTTAGGGTGTAGCGGTGATATAATAATACGTTTTTTTAAATCGGATAAAAATTATGAGTCCACAAGCTAAAAACACGATTTTTCATACAATCAGGGGCCATAATTCAGGAAGTTATGGTCGGATATGCGCAAATATCGAAAGGAACCGAGATCTTTGGGTTATAAACTTACATTTCAAGTTTCAACAAAATCAGATAAAAATTGTGACCTCTATAGGGTCCACAACCTTGATATACCATATTTTTACGCTATTTGAGAACGAACGGCGGCCATTTTGTCTGTCAATTTTGGGCTGATTTTCAGGAAATTCGAACTGAGCCGTCCTTACGGTGTAACGGTGATATAATAATATGTTTTTTTAAATCGAATAAAAATTATGACCTCTATAGGGTCGACAAGCTAAAAACGTGATTTTTCGTACAATCAGGGTCCATAATTCAGGAAATTACGTTCCGATATGGGCGAATATCGAAAGGAACCGAGATCTTTGGGTTTACATTTCAAGTTTCAACAAAATCTGATTAAAATTGTGACCTCTATAGTGTCCACAAGCTAAAAACGTGATTTTTCGTACAAACAGGGGCCATAATCCATGGAGTTTCAATCCGATACATGCCAATATCGAAAGCAGCCGAAATCTTTTGGAGATAAACCTATATTTCAAGTTTCGTCAAAATCGGATAAGAATTGTGACCTGTAGAATGTCCACAAACAAATTGTGGATGAACGGACAGGGGCGACGACAATATACGTCCACATGAAAATGTGGGCGTATAAAAAGATTCTGCATTTGTTATCATTATAGAGAACATTTTTCTTACCTAGAGATCTATACATGTGTATATTCTTCTTATAATCAAATACAATATTTTATAATAGTACATTGTTCACACATGTTATAACTAGTTATATTGATCTTTGTATTACTCTGTTTAAAATATTTCTTTGACATGTCAAATTCAAACTATTTTGCATACATAATGGTAATCTTTTTCTTCTCGAGGCTTAGCATGTGCGTGCTGAATCATAAGGTCTGTCATTGAGTCAACTTGCGTAATTTTAATTCCCTGGTTGTACGTGACAAGGAGTAGGGTCACCTGTCCAACCTCATGGGTTTTCTCCGGGTCCCCCGGTTTCGTCTCACTGCTAAAGACCCCTACGCCCAAGCAAATTATTGAAATAAAATTGAACCATGTTAGTCCCGAAATGACCTAGTTTGTGTCAAGTGGACCTTAAACTTTAATTATTCAATTAAAAATCAGTTTTTAGGTTGCAAAAGTACACCTAATTAATCTTAAAGAAACATAAGTTTCTCTTTCAAGTTTCTCTCCACTATAATTAGACATTGACATAAATAATAATTTGTAATACAAAGACATCTGAGTTTACCTCAATGATAAAACATCTACCATTATAAAAGCACTAACATCACTAATTTCTATTTAACAAGTACATGCACGCTATTAACAAGGAACCGTGCATCACATCATCGCAGCCACATTGAAATTGTGACATTATATCAAATATAGTTTAATGTCGATCATACTTTAATTGGAGTGTTGCCCCCTAGAAAAAAAAAAAGTAGCACTTGGGGCCGAATTCTGGTCCAAAAATCTACATGTACCATTATAAAAGTATTCACTTTGCTCATTTCTATAAAAGTTGACACACATACTAAGCCAAGGGGAAATAATCACATTTTAAAAACTATGTTCAAATTACACAAAATCTAATCCAAACAGCCCTACCTTCATCTATTAAACTACATTCTTCCATTTTGGGCATTGTAAAGATCACAAATATGTTAACAAGGTTACTTAGATCTACATCTACTTTACAGTTCAAATTCATTGGTATCACAGTTTTAGTTATTGATTTTATCTATTAAGCTACATTATATATATATATATACATGTATATATATACTGGTATATGTTGTTGACAATTTTCTAGTATTATTACTATAGAGTGTGCTGTGACAAATGTTGCTTTATTCATACATTATAGCAATTAAATTTATGTTTAGTGTATATTTATATTTCTCATTCTACTCATGAATATTAATTATTTTGTGCTTTTTATATTCAATAGTTATGTCTTTTATACTGTTGTGTTATCTTTCTTAATACTTTATATATAAGCTTACAATATTTATTTTTTTATACTATTAAATGTATGTTTTTAATTTTTATATTCAATACAAACATGTATCTATGTCCTTTATAACGTTAAATCCAGTGTTTGTTTCGTATACCAGCTCTAGCTAAATGACACACATCTTTGTTATACCTGAGGTAGGGTGACCCACCATAAATAAATATCTCCATATATCTCGACAATTTCGCCACAATATTTATATATATGCCAAGCCTCAAATCAGTTTCACACAATTATAGTCATTAAATAAACGATCATGTTGTACTTAATAAGCTATGACCATTAATCATCTATAAATAATAGACTGAAAACTGGTTCCATGTGTCGTCCATAACATCCAGACACTCTTGAGTAAAAGATAGGTTACATGCCCTTGTTTTGAAATTAGTCTCGCTTAACCAGTCTATCGACCATTCTAGGGCTGATTGACAGGTCGGGATAATCAAGACTACTTTTTTACGAAACATAACAGAAAGCTAGAACAAGAAATTGAATTTAGAAATGAGCACGTTAGCTAGCTAAACAATTGTTTTAAGAAGCTTGTAAAAGTAAAATGAAACTACTGCTAGTATCATGTTCCTGTCTAACCTGAGTGCTTCAGAGATATTATTTGTACTAAACCAAAAGATGCCGCTCTTAACGGTACAGTTAATGATAAAGCGATTTAAAAAATGAAACAAACGTAATTTCTAAATCTGCTGTAATAACCAAGAAGCTTAATTTTACTGCTATTCAAAATCGTCAACAATAATTTTTTTACGGCTGTAATAGTTGATAGATTTGTAGAGAATTGCACGTGCCATGGCTATTTATAGTATCACACTGTCAGAAAGTTGGACTCGACACGGCGAATGTGCACGCTTCAGTGGTAGTCTCGAACTATCAGAGGTTGACTGTATTTATGTAGGTGCATGGGCCACCCTACCAGTACCTAATGCATATTTGTTTTTTTACGGTGGCTGATTTAGGACACGCCAAAAAAAAATATCTCGAGCACTCGAGATACTAAGTCGAGCGCTTGAGATAATAAGTTGAGATAGTTAAGTCGAGTGCTCGAGATAATTAAGTTGAGCGCTCAAGATAGTAAGTAGAGTACTCGAGATAATGTCGAAGCTCGGCACGATCGTGCCACTTAGTATCTCAAGCGCTTGATTAGTATCTCAAGCACTCGAGATATTTTTTTTTGCGTGTCCTAAATCAGCCACCGTAGTTTTCTAAAAAGACTTGATTTTTCTTTTCACAAAATTTGTTGTTGCTATTGAGTCTTGTTTAGTTTGTTTTAGTAATTTTCAATTACGCTTCCTGGTAATGCCGATGACTGTCATGATGGCATCTACACATATGTATAGTATTATTAACTATCTAATATTAAAAAGGATATAGGGTATCAAATTCTATTATTTATTTCAGAGAATGTTTAATGGTGCTGGCCATCTAGGTGGGTCTACTTTTACACATAAGAAAGTATGTACTTGATGTATGCCTACATGTAATTATGTAGTATGTCCGTAAAAGATCCCTTAATTGGCAGTTGGAATTCGATATAAGAGTAGGCGATAGTGCCGCTGCCCGGGCAAAATTTCCCTCATAGCACACTGTATGGCGTATGCCCGTCTTCATTAGCCCAGCATAGGACCAGAACAGTAGGACGTTAAACTCCATTTCATTTCATTGTAAACTATACTGGACTATTTATGACCTACTACTTTGAAGATTAGCAATCAAGATATGATCCCTTTATTACAGGAGTAAGGAGGTAAGCTTATATATTTGTTCCACACATTTCCCCAAAATTACAATATACTGTTCCTATTAAATTTCGTTAAAAATTGTTATGGTACAGAGTCAACTTAGAGGTGGACAATATGACCATTTTTTGAAAAACCAATATAAAGGAATGTAATTTACTAATTCTGAAGATAAGAAAGACAGAAAGTTCTGTCTACTGTCCATATATTGAGACCTGTTATTCTATAGATATCTTTGTATGCACCAGGATCCAACTTCCAAAGGCTGATATTTAGTCAACTTTACAAAATACTGTATGGTTTACAAATGAAATTATTGACCATGAGGGCCTTATCATTTGTTGGAAGGGAGGCAACTCCAGCTGGCCACTTAGTTGTAAGGTTACAGGCCACTAAGTTGTAAGGTTACAGACCACAAGTAAATTCCCTATTGATTTAAGTATTTAGTCGTGGGCAGCAGACAGTGGTTCACAACGTTTTTGAGATATCACCTGCTAATATCTAAAGATAAATGTAGAGCTCTGCCAAATGCCCCCCCCCCCCCAAATAAATCAAAGAAACAAACAAATAGGAAGATTAAATATACACTGTCATCTACGATTGCAGTTAAACTAAAAACCCTACAGGACACTCTAGAGACGAGCCACTACCTGACTTACATGACAATCAACCAGAAGGCATTAGATAACCTCAAAACAGAAACTACGGTAAGACGGATTAAAAAGCTTAAAAAACTGATCAGTGAAAAGAAGAAAACCAGAAGAAACAAAATCAGCAGATATCAAAACTAAAAAAGACCAGCGGCTGCCAGGCAGGATACGCCCACATTTTGCAAGAGATGGATAGAGAACAAGCTAAAAACGAAAACGATTTTTGTACAATCGGGGGCCATAATCCTTTACTGTATAAAAAGATTTTTACCATATCTTATTAAAAACTTAAATGGGAAGCCACGGTGACTAAGCGGGTAATACGCTGGCTCACTAGTTTGGATGTCACGGGTTTGGTCCTGGTGATGGCTGAGAGTGTAGGATGGAGAGTCTGACAAGCACAGCTGTCTAGTCATTTGCATGGGATGAAAAATTGAGATCCCATGTACACATTGGCGTGCACATAAAAGATCCTTTGGCAGTTGGAATTCGATATAAGAGTAGGCTGTTATGTAGTGCCGCTATCCGAGCAAAATTTCCAGTACGTCATAGCACACTGTATGGCGTATGCCTGTCTTCATTAGCCTAGTTGGAGCAGAACAGTAGGACGTTAAACCCCATTTCATTTTAAAAAGTTAAATATCTGAATATTTCTAGTTTACACCCCTTAATACCTTATGACAGTGGACTTTACCATAAACACAAACCTCAGACAACTATGACCAGGCATAATGACTAGTCAGTTTTAGATAGTATTTAATGTGTCATGGTTTGTTATCAATCAGGGTAGAAGCTAATTAGTTAAGTATTTAATCCATTATGGTTTATTTATGTTCATGTCTCCAGTGATAATCCGATATAGTATATGTTTTGATGTCAACACTTGAGCTTCCATTTATAGTTAGAATATAAAAAGGCTAATGTACATCAATAGGCAAGTCATTAGGTCACCCGACTTAGTAGCAGCTACATCGGTCATCCACTGTGCTGCAGATGTACATCGTATGTATTAAATTGTAATTTGTAAGATATAAGTTCCAGTAATTAAAAGATTGAAAATCCATTTCAGACTTATTAGTTATTGAAGAACCATAGCGGTTATACAACTATGGAACAAGTAATCCTTTTATTGCAGATTAGACTGAACTCATGGTTGTGTGATATCAGTATATTTTTTTCACCATTGAGACTTATTGTTTCTTTTTTAAATTGCATAATATAATATGTATTCTTTTTAAGCATGAACATTTATGATAAATGTATGTCACAATTATAATATAAAAGACTTAACAATGAATTTAAAGATTTTCTGAAATCTCCAATAATATTCGCAAAATTTAAATCTTTTCTGGCACTAGTTAATACCTGTATGTATACCCTAATCTAAAAAAACAGTGGTTAACAAGTTTATAATACAAACAACAAAACAATCCATATTTCAAAGGTATCTTTTAAAAATAATAAAATCTACTACAATTTTATATACAATAATAATATGTTGTTAGTGTAATTTCACAGTACGGTCGGTAGTAATCATATGGGTAGACTAATCACCGGAATTCATTTACAATCACCAGAATTCATTTACAATCACCGGAATTCATTTACAATCACCGGAATTCACTTCTAAAATCCCCGATTCCTCCCACAAAACTCACTTATTTGGTCAAATAATATTGTAAGTTAAAATTAGGACTGAAATGCTGATAAAAGAGGCTTTTTAATGAATTACAAATAGGTTCTACACATAATTGTTTTAAAACATCTCAAATTTGACGAGTTACGATATTTTCTCCACATATGTCGAGTAATCTCCTTTTAATGGTCAAAACATCGGATTTACAAATCATTAAATGTAAATATTGTCATTGTATAAAGTGACAAATAACATACAATCACCACATAATAAACTATCATAACATGAGAATACTCTGAACAAAGACAATTATTTGTCAGCGGAACTTATTTAAATTGATTTCATTTATTTATTTCAAAACAAGTTACGATGTCGATGACAGAAAGAGACAATCGACACAATTTGCAAGTATAAATAAATAAATATAGCTATAATATTAAATTGTTTATTGCACTATATATACCATAATATGTTTCATGCATATAATTACTGTTTTAATAAACTATTAATCAATCTCTAATTACAATACGTTACAACGAATTGCAACGAAAGAATACATAAGTTTCTTGTCAACAAAAATCACATACACGAGTTATCTCCCGTGAACCTCCGATTAGAACAAAAACCAGTGACGCTTCTTAAACTCATACTAAATTGTTATTTTGTGTTTCGACAGTCAATATTTTTGAAGTTATTGGTTGTTATTTTGGAGTTATTGGGTAACTCGACACAAATTGTTTTCTATTGTTATTTTGGAGTTCGGCCTATTGGGTAATATGACGCGCCCTACGTTATCATAACCATGATGCATATATTTGAATTGAAATGAATTCCGGTAGTCTTTCAAATAAATATACCCACAGGGACTTTATTTGGCCTGTGGGGATATCAAAATATTAATTCGTTACATTATAATGTATTATACATTTAAAATAAATTAGTTTTGTGGGAGGAATCGGGGGTTTCCGAAGTGAATTCCGGTGATTGGAAATGAATTCCGGTGATTAGTCGGGCCCGTAATCATGATGGTGACAATCATCACAATGTACTTTAACCATTAACAATAACCATTTTAAACAGTTTATTAAACAAAACAGTTGTATCGGTGGACATAGAACTACACATACATGTACCATACATAAGAAACGAGGGATGTATCATGAACAGACATATCATTCAGGAACTACTGTGTGAACCATCGTAAATTTTAAACGGATTTCTTCGATTATGAACAAACTACTTAACTTTGGTTATTATAAACTTACCTGTGTGTTTGTAATCAACTCCCGTTCGATAAAATCCATTGCACAACTAATTATCGCAACGATGAAAACAAGCTCTCTCTTGAAAAATTTGAAAATTTACTTGTAATTTCGACAGAGTCGATGTCAACAATGTCTTCGTGACGTATTGGTCGAATCCAATATACCTGTTGCAGGGGTTGGTTAGCATTGAAAGATAGTTTGACAGCGTGATCATTTTGATCGTATATGGGTTTGGGCGACGAAAAATATCAATTGAAGGCAATTACATAGGAGATTTATATGGAAATCATTGACCGCCATGGGAGTCTATCAAATTTTCTTCACAATTAAAATATCACTGATTGCACGGATACTCGTAAAAATAAAGTCATATATAAACAATAAATATCCTATCTTCTTTATGTTATAAATAATTTAACAAGGATCATGAAGCTTACCTATGAATTCTCTGAGTGTATTTTAAATTTATACGCATTCTTTCGATCGAATAATAACCGCTTCAGTAACATCTTTAAGCGTGTTGGCTGTTGCGGCAGCCCTCAGCGTGCCTATTGGGTGCCCGGGTGGGTATATAATGCTACTAAGCCCGTATGACCCCGTAAGAAGCGGAACATTAATTCTCGATTCGACAGTTTTGACCGAAGTGTGATATAAGCCCATAAAACGAATGTATAGTTGTGTTTGTGCGGCATGCGTGTTCAAAAGTAAATTATCCCATCCGAGTCGCTAATCAAATAATTAGAACAAAATATTTCAAAAAGTAAAGCTATAAAATCTACAGAGATTTTACTAGAATGTAAAAGACGGTAACTAAATACAGGAATGTGGGTAGTTATGTGTGCGAACGCTCAAACTCAATGCCATTGGTCGTAGGTATCCAGACCACTCGGACCAAAGACTACTCGGATTTAGACCAGTCGGATCAAAACAAGACCAGTCGGACCAATTAAATTATATTATAAGGCTAGACAATATGCTATTTATTTATTATTAAATCACAATACAAAGAAGCAAATAATTCTTATACGGAATTCTTATATTTAGAGTTGTTTAGTTCAATTTTGTGTACGGAAAATAAATCAACGATTAGTTTTAAAATTAATTAATAATGGTGCCAAAAAAAATATCAATCTAATTTTTCTTATTTACTCTTGCAATGAGACTCGGTATGTCCAGACTTTTGACAGTTTCTACATATACGGGTATACTGTTCTTATCTGATAGCCTAATTTTACTTTTTCCACATTCGCGGTATCCCCAGTGGTTTCATTCCGTTCTACCCTAATAACCCCTGGGTTAATATATGGGGGGAGACACGTTTTCAAGTTATCCGCCCTTGGTGCGTTAATATAAACAGCACATAATAATACGAAGACCGGACGTTTAAATGCCCCTTTTTAAACGTGACTACAAGTGTGGTTCTCGATATTTTGCGATTTGGGATACAATAATCAATTTATTCAAAGAACACGTTATTATTAGTTCGAGTAGTCATATTAAAACACACACAATTAGCAATTTATTCAAATAACACGTTATTATTAGTTCGAGTAATATTAAAACACACACAATTATTAGCAATTTATTCAAATAACACTTTATTATTGGTTCGAGTAGTCATATTAAAATAAACACAATTATCAATGTATTAAAAAAACACTTTATTATTGGTTCGAGTAATCATATTAAAACAAACGCAATTATCAGTTTATTAAAACAACACTTTATTATTGGTCCGAGTCGTCTTTCTGTTGGGCCCGAGTAGTCTTTTGTTTGGGCTGAGTCGTCTATCAGTTGGTCCGACTGGTCTTGAACCGAATGGTCTTTGGTCCGAGTGGTCATGGATTCTTGTCGTAATTGTACTTGAATTTCCTATGCTGTCACCCCTAATACGAAATGATATCTTCCGCAGAGTGACGTAACCATCTTCCATATTGGTATTTTTCTCTGGGAAAAGTTTGTGATATTTCAATTTTTCAAGAGAGAACTTGTTTTCATCGTTGTGATAATTAGTTGTGCAATGGATTATATCGAACGGGAGCTGATTACAAACACACAGGTAAGTTTATAATAACCAAAGTTAAGTAGTTTGTTCATAATCGAAGATATCCGTTTAAAATTTACCAAGACTCAGACAGTAGATTTTCCAGGCTTTGTCTTTGCTCAGATGTGATTTAAGCTCCAAATACAATATACAATAAAAACTGATAAGCAATTATTGGACATATTGCTCTTCTTTCTTTTTTTTTATGATGTTTTTATCATTATATAATATTATGATCATATATTTTTTTTTTCACCATTTTCTTTCTCTTACAGTTTCTTTCCCTTTCTACTTCTAGTTTCTTTATTTTTTTTCCCTAATTTGTACGTTTTTCTACTCACCTGGGAGGAAGGAAACCTCCTCCACTTCCATATCTGACATTTCTGCAGGCTAGTGTGTCAAATGGTCATGTAATCTTTGTAATGAGCTGATCAAACAAACAAAAAACTATATTGACATGTTTATGATAATTTTCTGTGGTTGTTTTCAATGACGCCAGCGGCCCATCTTGTGACCTTGAACTTTGGATCGTGGTGCAGTAGATTCTCGAATTCTTTGGTGCCGTGAATTTCGAAAATCTCGGCTACTTTTGCATACAGTTCCATACTCATGATGTGAAAGCGAAAATTTATTGCCGATCAGTTTGTATTTCTTTAAAAAATCACGTTCTTGAAAGACATCAATTTTAGAAAAGAAAAAAAATGTTTTAAATATCACAGAATTCACTTCTTAAACCAGAGAGAGAGATCGAGAGAGAGAGAGAAGAGAGGGAGAGAGAGAGAGAGAGAGAGAGAGGGGGGTAACATCCACGTTGGGGGTAGGCCGGGTAGGGCCAGTAGGGGTCTTTAGCAGTGGGAGGAAACCGAAGCCCCGGGGAAAATCCAGCACGAGGTTTGAAAGGCGACCCTACTAGGTGTCACGTACAATAGGGGAATGAAAACCCACGCAAGCTGTCTCAATGACGTACAAACCTTTATTATGACTTATGATGCAACGTGCACGCGCTAACCATTCGCCCCCCCCCCCCCTCTTAAATCAGATTTCTAAATCGACTCGACTTTACTTTATGTGACATGTGATAATTTTGGAGTAATATTATCAAAGAAATCAAGTGACTGCTGATACAAACATGCAAGTTGTATTTATCACGTGTAAACGCTAAAATGTAAAAGTTTAAGCCTAATAAGGACTACGATTTTTGCCCACATTGACAGGCTATATTTCTACAGCTAATTTTTGTCGTCAATGATATTTTGTAAACCAACTGCGTATGCTTTTGTACTAGTATTGTATCGTAAATGCACACTGTCACTGTTCCTGTGGGTATTCGGACGCGGTCAGGTTTGCAAATCGAAAGTAGAATTGACCTATAAGATTATTGACATTTTCAAATAGCAATAATAATGCATAAATTCTTAATCATAGACTGAAAAAATTTAAACGAATGTTTCCATTGCAATTTTGTAAAAGTTAGCCTACCTTAACCAAATCTCAAAGATATTGCACCATTTATCCATATTGCACCCAATATTTTTCATGAATTAGTTTATCCTAATGCTGTCTTAATCTGGTCTTTCCATGTAAAATGGTAGGATAACCCACCATAAATAAATATCTCCAAATATCTCGACAATTACACCACAATATTTATATATACACCAAGTCTTAAATCAGTTTTGCACATTTATAGTCACTAAATAAACGGCCATGTTGTACTTAATAAGCTATGACCATTTAACCATCCATAAATAATAAACTGAAAGACTGAAAGATGATTACGAGTGTCGGCCATAACATCTGGGTACTTGTGAGTAAAAAAATAGGTTACGTGCCCTTGTTTTGAAATTAGTCTCGCTTAACCAGTCTACCGACCATTCTACATCTGATTGACAGGCCGAGATAACCAAGACTACTTTTTTACGAAACATAACAGAGAGCTGGAACAAGAAATTGATTTTAGAAACACGCACGTTAGGCAACTCAATAATTGTTTTAAGAACCTTGTAAAAGTAAAATGAAACTACGGCTAGTATCATGTTCAGAGATATTATTTGTACTAAACCAAAAGATGCCGCTCCTAACAGTACAGTTAATGATAAAGCAAATTAAAAAATAAAACAAACGTAATTTCTCAAGCTGCTGTAATAACCAAAAAGTGAAATGTACTGCTATTCAGAATCGTCAACAATAGATTTTTTACGGCTGTAGTAGTTATAGATGTGTGGAGAATTGCATGTGCGATGGCTATTTATAGTCTCATAGACTCTAGTGCTGAGTATTATCATACTGCGTAGTTAGCGAGAAATCACTATGAGACAAGCCACTGAAGCGTGCACATTCGCCGTGTCGAGTCCAACTTTCTGTAGGGAAAATTTTCACTGCACGGGTCACCCTAAAAATGGGCCAAATTTTCAGAAGTTGTTCGGTGAATTCCTCAGAGAATTATGAAAACAAATTAAATGAAATGGGGTTCAACATCTTACTATTCTGCACAGACTGGCGTACGCCATACAGTGTGCTATGAGGGAAATTTTGCCTGGACAGCGGCACTACAGCCTACTCTTATTTCAAATTCCAACTTCAAGTGTCAAACCTTCAAGGGTTCTTTTACGTGTTCACCAATGTGTATATATATATAATATGTGTTATAGTATAGACCTATGTAAAACGGCAAAGTTATATGATACTAGCATTAATATTGACAGAGATATGGCCTTTTGGGGTTACCATTTCCGATGTTTCGAAACTACTAGGCCGATTATATGAATCTAATTTGGTGTTCTTATTTTATTCTTAAAATTTGGTGGTTTTGAAGAGCTTTTTGTGTAGATTAAGAATACATCAATCATCAGATTTATCTGAACAATTCCAACTGTGTATGGCCTGGATTAAGTGCCCGAATAATATTTCTCACCAGGATTATGATGAAACCAGACCTTTTAAGAGCATTTTTGCGTACTTCACTTTTATCTGTCAATAATGGATCCAAGGAGTATCATTAATTTGTGATTCACCATCAAAAGCCAGGAAAAGATTTCCTTTCATGTCTGTACATCCATGTGATTTGAAATCCATGTGGTGAAGACAATATTTATTAATAGCTGTAGTACTAATGGTACATACATAACTATAGTGACATGTGTCTATGTTGCCACTCTATGCCAAGCTATACATGGGCAAATAAATGTTATCAACCTCAGAGGATTAATTTAGGTTCTTCTATTAAGGATTTCAAACTTTTCAGTCATACTCATGGTGAGATATTGCATTAGTTTTGTTGTAAGGTGCAGTAAATCTGTGATAGTTTGTTGATTAACACAAGCCATCAATTGATTAAAGATACATTATGGGAGATTTTTATAAGGAGTTAGCCATTCTTGCTATAACAGTTCAAAATTAGATGATGAAAGAAGAATATATTGAAAATTTCAGTCAAATTACTTTATTCTGAACATAGTTATCACCAGTGTAATTTTTGACTAGCAATGGGATTGAATTCCATCTTCACATATTCTTAGTATGGGCGATCGTTTGATTGACAGGCGTTAACTCCACCTACATAATCTCTGCTGTCTTTTGTCTGCTGTCATCATATCTGAATTTGTGTTTTACCTTTTTGGATTTTTATAACAATTGGACAAAATGAGTGAGAGGGTAAATTTTCATTCTTACTTGTATTTTGGGCATGCATTAAATCAATTGAATATAGGACATAATATTATAATACAATTATGATAAATCTATAGGCCTACTATTTTCTATAGGTATACACCAGTGGCGTCGTGCCTATTGGGGAAATAAAAAATATTTTTATTGATATTATTAAGACAGAAGACCTGTCCGTCTCTATTAGTCATCACACGGTCTCCAGGAATTGTATAATTTGTCATTATCTGTGTTTAGTTTATTGCATTTTAAATAGTTTAGATGTCATTTGTTAAGGCATCGCTCAACAACGGCCTCGCTTCGTACACGCTATCATTTAGCCTCGATCCAAGAGTATGACGTCAACACGGTTAATCTCCGCTCACGACGCCATTTAAAATTAAATAAGTCAACGAAATCCTGTTTAAATCCAAGCTGAATCCAAGCCATCCGTGGGTCTACAGAGTTGATTTTGTGCTTGTTGTGTAAATAAAGATCTGATTTATAATTTCTATGACATCTAAAGCCTAAATAAAGACTTGCAATAATCAGATTTAGCTCTTGCATAATGTATGTTTAACAGTCAAATGAATTTAGGGGGATTAAAACTTTGGGATAGAAAATAAATGGAACCATGGTGTCGATTCCGATTTTGATCAATAAAGTTCCTTGTGATATTCCCGCTTGGTTTGCCATTGCCAGTGGCGCAGAACAGAGGGCCTGGCTAAGAACAGTTGGCGTGCACGTAAAAGAACCATTGATAGGAGGCTGCCATCTTCATTAGCCCGGTTCATGCAGACAAGTGGAATGTTGATCCCCATTTCAGATCATTTAAAGTCAGGAAAATGCAATAGGAGAAAATAATATAGTGAATATAAAGAAAATGTTTTCGTTTCAGGACATGAAACAAATTGTATATAATGAATTGGTCAAGATATAAATATATCTTAAATGATATAACAAGCTTCAGCAAATTCTTTGTTTCGTGTTCCAAAAATCAATTGTTTAAGAAGAATCTTATAAATATTTTTAATAAAGCTACTGAAGATAAGACATTCTGCACAGTGAAGAAAAAACTAGATCCACCCTGGAATGTTTTATTTTTTGGAACAGATGAGTTTTCTGTAGAAACACTTAAATCACTACATGAAAGCCAGTAAGTTTTGTTAAATATCATTATTGATTTTTAAACATTTGAAATAAATGAGATAAGCTTATTTTATGAACAAACATAGATCAAAATAAAAACTAATCAGTTAATTACTACCTTGTCTGAAACTCAACTGGCTTTGGTTAAATGAAACACAACCTTGTGTTATTTAAATTCTGTATTCAAAGAAGTATGAATTGGTATAGATAGATCTATAAACATTTGTATAACAAAAATGCAGAGATAATAATCTTCAAAACGTTACCATGCTATAATATTAATTTTAAGAAAGAAGAAATTGGAAATTACTGAATCAACAAATTTTGTGCCCTTGAAACCCAAATCAATGAAGAATTTTTTGTGCTGTATCTGGAATAAATGATGTGCAATATGTGTGTCATTTAGCCGTGGTTGATCGCATATGTGTCTATGTACTAATTTTGAACAGAGCTAAACTTACTCTAAGAAAGATAGAACTAGAAGCATAAAAAATAAGTTGACATTGTGATTTCATTTTGATAAGCTTTATATGTAAGTAATTCTTTGTCATGTACAAGACTTACTTTTTTTTTTAAACACCTGGTACCACTTATCATTGTATGGATCTGTAATAGAGATGATTTCCTGTGGCAGGTTCAAGTAGATAGCCATTTTGTTTTCATTTGGAAGTTTTGGTGCAATATAAGTTTCTTTTGAAGGGCATTAACATTACATTTTAAATTGTCTGTTGTCCTGTATTTTCATTTTTCAGTTAGTGTTGCATTATTTATTGTTTATGTTGTAGGTTGGAAGATAAAAACAGATTAGTTAATAAATTGGAAGTTGCTTGTAATCCAGGACAGGTAATATTTGATTTCCTCTCTGTTATTCCATTATTAGGAATTCTCACAGCTAAAGAGCTTGGCATGCATATAAATTAATATGAAATATAGATAACTCAAGTTATTATCACATAGACCCATAGTCTGCACTCCATGTACTACAATCAACTTTGATTTTACTTTAAAACTACAAATTATTGTCACAAATTCATTTCCTATGCAAGTATCTCTAAAATTGTATATCTTTCCCCCCAAAATAACCTTGTTTTCCCATTGATGTACTATTGGAATCATTTTTCAACATTTCATTTCTCTCTTTTTAGAGCGCCATCAGACAATATGCTGTACAATTCCATCTGAAGATACATGACTGGCCAGTTAACATAGAGAAGGGGAAATATGATGTTGGTGTTTTAGCTTCTTTTGGTCGTCTAATTCCAGCTTCTGTTATAAACAATTTTCCATAGTAAGTACAATTAGTACATATATTATAAACATGTGTTATTAAGAAATATTTCTTTAAGAGACCACTCAGCTTGTGGGATTTAATCATAAGTCTAATAAATACATGTCAGGTAGGCTAGAAAAACTGGACCACACTTATTTACAAATGATGTGCCTACATATTTTTGTCGCAAAAAATCTTTTTTTTAGTTTTTTTTATCAGCCTGCTTTTAACCTGTTAAGCGTGACGTTTTAAAAACATTAACTACCCCCTATTGTGTAATTAATTTGACGAAGTGACGAAGAACTATGTACTATGTTCTAAGAATAGGTTGGGGAAAATACCTCCAAGGCGTTATATTACGCCCTACACACAGTGAGTGGCAGTTGTCCAGGACGTAATATAACGACCTACGCACTCAACGGGTTAAAGGAAGATGATTAATAAATTTATATTACTTCCTGTCATTGAATACAGTTGCTTTTACGATCTGATCACATTAGTACAATAATTGTGATATATATACTAAGCAGCAAAGTAACGTCAGGTTGGTATGTTACTCTGAATAGACACATTGCATAAAACTTGCCAAATGTTTTTATTGTATATTTGTGACCACATCTTCAACTTTACCTGAGCAATAAGGCTCCTTCCCAAACACAGAATTGAACCCAGGAAAAGTTCTCAAAAACACAACCTGACTTTTGAGATGGTAATGTGTTCTCCATGATTTTCATGTAACTCATGCTGCACATGCTGTTCACCGTTTCATGTAACTCATGCTGCACATGCTATAAAATGCACCCCCATACCTGGTTGAATCATTCACACTACAATGACGGCAGCATGCCATGACTCACGACAGCTCAAAGGAACCAGGCACTTGGAAGACTCGACGCAGGTCACACTGCCCAATCCGTTGCTAATCACTTCCAGGTCAATGTTCAGACCATCTACAGGCTTCAGCAACGCTTTTGGGCCACCAACACCACAGATGATCGCCCCCGAACTGGTAGACCAAGGGTTACCACAATTTGACAAGACCGCCATGTTGTGTGACAGCACTTGCAGAATCCCTTCACACAGGCATCTGAGACAGCACATCAGACAGTGAGAACACACAGAAGATCCATCAGTACCGATACAGTTCGCCGACGTCTCACCAGAGAGAACACCTTACCGTGGACAGAACTGGCGACACAGGCAATGGAGAACTGTTCTGTTCACAGATGAGAGTCGGTATTGTGTATCAACTGCAGATGGCAGGACCAGAATATGGCGTCGACGTGGTCAGCGTTATTCTGACCAATGTGTCATGGAACGAGACTCATGGGGAGGTCCAAGCATAATGGTTTGGGGTGGAATCGGTAGAGGAGGCGGCATCACAGCAGTGCGCTACATCTATCAAGCTCTCAGACCCCACGTCATACCACATTTCGCACGTCATCAAAACAACGTTTTCCAGCATGACAACGACCGTGCCCACACCGCCAGATTTACTTGGTACTTTTTACAGCAGAACGGTGTCAACGTTATGCACTTGCCAGCCCTTAGTCCGGACTTAAACCCGATTGAACATCTTTGGGATGAAATTCAGAGGAGACTTAATAATGTTGTACCAAGACCAAACACAGCTGATGGATTGCGCCAGGCTTTCTGAGTGTGTGGTTCCAGGTGCCTATGGCGTTCATCAATCGTCTGGTCCACTCCATGTACAGACGCTGCGCTGCTGTTATTGACACTCGCGGTGGACATACCAGATACTGATGTACAGACTGTGTACAGACTCTAAACCTTCTCATAATATCTTGGAATTGTGATGAATTAATCACTAATGTGTCAACATACTGTTCACAAAAAATTGCTTTGATCCATTTAGTAAGTCGTTTTCTAGAATGATTTGATTAAAGTGCCTCTCTGATTTTGAAATCGTACTGACATTTTTTTTGCTGTTTAGTATGTTTGCTACTGTTCCAATATATAAAGACAGAAAATATTAATATCATTGCTTCAGTGGCATAGGGGATTTAGTGGTCTAGTGGTGTTGTTTCGATTCCTCGCCTGCCCAACCTAGTGGTTTTTCTCCAGGTCCTCCAGGTTTCCTCCCACTGCTGAAAGACGGGCAAGCAAATTATTGAAATAAAATTGAACCATATGTTAGTCCTGAAACGGACATTAAATCCCATTTCTCTCTCTCCCTCTCTCTTCAGTGGCATATTAAACGTACATCCAAGTTTATTACCACGGTGGAGAGGTTCAGCTCCTATTATTCATACAGTATTAAATGGAGATAAAGTTACTGGAATATCAATAATGCAACTTAAACCTAAAAGGTATTTACATCATTTTCTACAATAATTATGATACTGAGTGTTCAGAACATATTTAGGATGATATATTTTATTGATTTGAAGAAGTTTCTGTTTCTTCTTTCTTCAAAATGCTTCAACCAGTAGTTATATTTCTTTCAAACTGCAAACAATATAATGGGTGTGTAGAAAATTGATTTAAGTCTTCATATGTTTTTCTTCTTTATAGGTTTGATATTGGACCTGTATTATTTCAAAAAGAAGTAGCTGTTCCATACAGAATTACAGCTGTTGAATTATGTAATCATTTAGCAGTTTTAGGAGGAGAAATAGTAAGTACAAGCCTTAAAGTTAGCAGCATTTTCATAATGTATTTTTAAATTATCCCTATTCATTTTCTTATTTCTTTCGTTCTGTATTTGTTATTATATCAAATAAAGAATTGTTACATGAGTCATTGGGTTGTCTCAAATTATTAGAGTAGTGTAGCTTAAATGTCAAATGTGCATGATTAATTGATAATATAAATATACCTTAAGACATGATCATTAGAAATGCAGGAAAACTGCTTACAAATGTATATATACAGCTCAAACACAACATGACCATATGACACTGAAAGTACAAATTTAAGAGAATATAAAAGTAAAAGAAAGTGAGAGTATAAGTGTTACCACTAAAAACAAAAATGTCAGAATGAGTACACCTATTCGCAGGTGTAGTAAGTGTGATCATATCTTCCAGAAAATATAAGAATACCCTGCATCATGCACATGTCTAATGGAGACAATTTATAGAGGCAACAAAAGTGCCTTTTGCATAAGTTTGTAAAATGGACTAAGTTTGAAATTAATATCTTCAGTTAGTTAATTGTCTTTGTGATCTGCCAAATCTAAGTAAAGAAGAAAAACAGCAAGATGCATCAAAAGCTACATATGGTCAGTTTTTAATCTGTTATCAAAAAGATTTTATACTTAATTTTGCTTAAAAATGAACCTTATTATAAATTTACAAGAGTAATCTGGTGAAAACGATTGAACCATATACAATGAAATAAGAATATATACTATTCAAAAAAAGTAGGGGATATTTGATTTTTAAGTGTTATTAAAGTCACCTAATGAAACTGACGAAGAAACAAATGACAAAATGAAATGAAGTTCACATTCATCGATTTATTCCAAATGATCGTTAGACTAAGTAAGGCACAGACTGACCATTATAAGGGTAAAATGATACCCAGGGTCAAACAGCAAAGTTACCACAGCATCACAACCAAGTCAGTAACGGGTAAATCCTCCTCTGTTTGCCAAACAAGCATTGATCCGACGTGGCATACTCCTAATGAGACGTCTAAGGTCATTTTGGTCCAGATTGTCCCATTCCTGTTGCAACGCAGCAGCAAGTTCTTGGACATTGGCAGGACGTTGTTGACGTTGACGTAACCTCTGTCCAAGCATGTCCCAGACATGCTCGATGGGGGAGAGGTCGGGACTCAGTGCTGGCCAAGGTAATGTGGTGATGTTCTGTTGTTGGAGGTAACCTGTAACGATCCTGGCCCTGTGACATCTTGCGTTGTTATCCTGGAAGATGAAACGGCGGCCATGACGTCGTGCGAACGGCACAACATGGACTGCCAAGATGTTGTCCCGGTAGTACTGGCCTGTAACACGCCCTGCAACGACATGTAAAGCCGTTCTTCCAGCAACAGTGATGCCTCCCCACACCATAACAGAACCACCCCAAAATCGATCATGTCTGATGACGTTAATGTCTTGGAAGCGCTCGTTTCGACGACGCCACACCCTCCTACGTCTGTCCAAAAAATCAACAGTGAACCTTGACTCATCTGAAAACATCACATTGCTCCAGCGTCGATTATCCCAGTGTTGACGATCCCTACACCAACGACGTCTTGCCTGAATGTGATGATCTCTCAAACAAGGGATCACGCGAGGACGTCGGGCGCGAAGGTGACCCCTATGCAGTCGATTCCGAATCGTCTGGCCACTCACTCTCACACCAGTGTCTGTTTGAAGACGAGCGCTGATCTGATTTGCTGTGATGACACCATTTCTCAAGGCCAAGGTACGGATAAATCGATCCTGGGCTTGAGTTGTCGCCCTTGGTCGACCTGAGCGTGGTCTGTCCTGTACAGATTGTGTATCACGGTATTTGGACCATAGCCTGCTTATGACAGACTGAGAAACATTCATCGTCCGCGCCACAACCGCCTGTGTTGTGCCGATCTGTAGCATGCCAAGGGCACGTAACCTTTCATTTTGGGTAAGCCGACGCATATCAAAATTTGTTTTCTGGTCACTAAAACAATTAAACTGATGTTTCCACCCTGGAATTCAATGCCACAATGACTGTAACATTCAAAGTCAGAGTCGTGCAAATCTTGGGTTGGACCCCCATGATGATCCCAAGCATCACCTGCATTCCATGCGGTAGCTATTGGTGCGTTTGGGCGTCACATGTAACTGGAAATGTTTCTTCTGTTAGGTTCTATAGTGACTTTTTTCGTAGTCATTTGCATATTTTAGTATTATGCCCCCAAAATCAAATATCCCCTACTTTTTTTGAATAGTATATTGTGGATTGCACTGAGGACTGTTTAATTTCATTTTGATGGTACCCCAGTTCGTTCATGCAAACAGTAACTGAGGTTTATTGTTACATCATAAAGATGTGCATTATTTGATTTTATAGAAATTCGATAAATATTTACAGGGTTATTTCCTTTCCTTAAAACATCATATTCTCAATTTTTGTGTACCGGGGTACATGCAAACACTAAGAAGTTTTTGACTGAATCAGATGAAATTTGCAGAGTTCATTAATTGCAATTAAATGACTGTACATTTCAGCTAACATGAAAATTAAATTAATGGAAATATGAATGTGTTTTACCCTTAGTTGAAACAATATCTACATTATAACTTAGTTTATACTTCTGTTCTTTGTTTCTTCTACAAGCACCTAAAATAACTAAATGGATAGGCAAACTAGATTGGAAAAATAACACATGCATCGATATAGACCAACGATATAGAGCCATTTCTTCTCTGGTATGTAATGGCTGTTTTTGTTTCTTGTGCTTTTGATCATTGTCATTGCAGAAAGTGATGATAAACTACAAAACCTAAAAGAGATGCACAGGAGACATCTTTCTGGCCAGCAACTATAATTGTGAATATTGTTATGGTTCAAGGGGGTCACGGTGGCTAAGTGGGTAAGACGCTGGCGTGCTAGTCTGGAGGTCGGGTGTTCGATCCCTGCATTGGCCAAGAAAGTTCATCGGGATTTTCCAATGTGGTTTCCCCCTTGTCAGTGGTGCAGGACAGAGAGCCTGACAAGGACAGCTGTCTAGTCATTTGGATGGGACAAAAAAACGAGGTCATGTGTATACATTGGCACGCAAGTAAAAAATCCCTGGGCAGTTGGAATTCGATATTAGAGTAGGCCACAGTGCCGCTGCCCTGGCAAAATTTCCCTCATAGCACACTGTATATGGCGTATGCCCGTCTTCATTAGCCCATTGGAGCAGAACAGTAAGACATTAAACCCCATTTCATTTCATTTTTAATGTTAATTGACCAGGTTATTGTCTTTGCTTGAATAACCATATTAAAAGCTCTTACATAAAAGCTCTTACAAACCTGGTATTTCAAATTTTACCTAATACATTTATTGCTATTTTTTCAGATTCCCGTATATACAATGTGGAGGAACAAAAAAGTCAAATTACGTGACATAGTCGATCCGAATAATACAAGAGGTAATTTAGCATAGAATTGGATACAAAGATTTATTTTCAGACATGATTAAAATGGTTCTTTAAGATATGCTCTAAATAAAGTTGGAAGCACTACATAAAATTGATAATTCAATGGTTAGTTTTTACAATGGATTAATACCATGATCCTTGTCATTAAATTGATTTATTTATTATACATGATTATTGTAGTCTTATGTCCACATTTTACCATTGTTCTTAAATGTTTAAAACCAGTTGGTGAACAGGTGCCTTACAATGAAAATCATACCAATAGTACAGTACCTTACACAGGTAATGCAAGTTGACCCCACTTAACAGATGGAAATCTCTAAAGTGATTACGTAATAGTGATTCCAATGCATGTGAAAGAGCAGTAGCATGTGTTGACCTATAAACAGTCAAGCATGTCTATGCATCTATCAAATAATGTACCGTTTATTTTTCAATTTGCTATTTTATTAACTACACCGTTAGGGGTGTCACGTTTTGGTTTAATAGAATTTACACATCTAAGAATAGAGGACTATTCATGGTTTTTTTTATGTTACAAGGTTCTTAAAACATTTGTTGACTTGCCATGCTCGTGGTGTTCTGAATTAGGATTTTTTACCTCGCTGTCTATCTGTAGGAGAAAGTTCAAAAGGCTGGTTTAACCCAACTAATTTCTAAAAAAGCTTGCAACTCCACTGGCCTTGAAAATTTACAAATATTGTGGGCACATGAACAAAGCAGTCTATTAAAAGCTACATATGTTATGTAATGCAACATGAATGTACATTATTGAGCAGAAATCAGGTAGCGTTGATGTTTAATGTATGGGGCACCCTACTGGTAGCCCAAAAAAACTGTGACCAATAATAATAATGGAGTTGTCTCCCATTACTGTCAACTTGACACACTCACTAGCACATTTTGCTAAACATAATAGTTTGTATCTCATTGTGATGTTTAATGGATTATAAAAAAGAATTAGCATATAGATAAATCTGTGCCCAATAAATATTGTCTTTGTTTTCCTTCTATACAATATCTAACTTTATTTAAGCAAATTCTTAAAGTAGAAATTAAAATAAACCACCATTCATTGAACTATACCACCATTCATTGAACTATACCACATCTTCCTGCTTTCTGGGTTAACCTTGACATCAGAATATAAATACTTAATACAATGTCTTTACAAGTATTTCATAATGTTAATGCATTGGACAATAACAATTAAATGTACATGTGTGTATAAACTGACCTCTTAGCCACCAGAATATTTTTATTTTTCAGATTTGTTACCAGCGAAGTTTAAAAATTTACCAGTTGGAAGTGTTAGGTTTTATCAGAAAGAAAACATTTTATTGGTAAAGTGCAAGGTAAGAAACTCTAATAGTGGTGAATTATCAAATTGAATATATCTAACATACATTGTTTGATATTATAAAACATTTATAGATCAATGGTTGTAATCAATATTGTACACTAATTAGATATTAAAGATACATTATGGGAGATTCGGTAACGAGTTGGCAGTTCTCACTATAATAGTTAAAAACTAGATAATGTAAAGGCAATTTGGTGAAAATTTCATTCAAATTGATCCACTATGAACCGAGAATTAAGCGACTGAAATTCCTATAAGCCTCGGTCATCATTACTAAAGTCAGTACGATAAACAGCATAGTCTCGATTATCCATTTAATCGTTTTATTGAGATGGAAAGTTATGCAGTAAATCGGCTTACAATCCACTAAAGATCGCAGGCTAGCGCTGCCATCTAGAGTTGATTATGGCCTGGATTGGTTAATTAATGTCTAATTAATAATTTAGATAACATTTCAGGCCTAAAGAAAGACCTGAAATAGGCAGATTTAGCTCTTGCATAATGTATGTTTAACTAACTTATCCAGACCATAATCAACTTTCAATGTCATTGCTAGCCTACAATTTGATATGCTGCTCAACGCTCATTGATGATTAAATCAAAAGATAGGTTGCCATGCAACGAAACATATGCCCACAGCAGCTAAATCTGGGCAATCAACAAGAGTTGCCGCATATTTTTACTTTTGTCAGTAATGAAACATTTATAATACACTAAAATCTGATTTTAGAGTAACAACTCATTTAGTAATTATCAGAAAACCATTAGAATTTGTTTGGCCCATGCTAACGTTTAGTATACAAAACATTTAATATCATGGATTTAGCTGTTCAAATTATCAAAAACCATTGAAAATCAATATACTTATTCGTTTCAAGACCTTATACTCTGTGTATCAGTCTAAAGTCAATCGAAAGGATTATATATAGGCGTAAACAATCAGATAATAACTATGGTCATAAAGCATCCACAAGATTTTTCAAAGTGATCAAGGGCCATAACTCTGGCGATATTAATCGGAAATCGTTGAAAATCAATAGGATTCTTCTACTGATGTGTCCACAAGATTTTTCAAAGTGATCAAGGGCCATAACTCTGGCAATAATAATCAGGAATCATTGAAAATCAATAGGAATCGTCTACTGATAAATTTAAAGTCAATCGAATATTAACTTTAGCCTCCACAAGATTTTTCAAAGTGATCAAGGGCCATAACTCTGGCAGTAGTCATTGGAAATCGTTGAAAATCAAAAGGCTTCTCCTGACCTGTAACACTGTGTATATATTTAAAGTCAATCAAATATTAACTTTAGCCTCTAGAGTGTCCACAAGATTTTTCAAAGTCATAAAGGGCCATAACTCTGGCAGTAATTATTGGAAATTGTTGAAAATCAATAGACTTCTTTGTCTCATGACCTTAAATACTGTGCATAAATTTAAAGTCAATCAGATATTAACTTTAGCCTCGAGAGCATCCACAAGGTGTTTCAAAGTGATCAAGGGCAATAACTCTGGCAGTAAGAATCAGAAATCGGTGAAAATCAATAGGTTTCTTCGTCTCATGACCTTAAACACTGTATAAATTCAAAGTCAATCGGATCAATTTGACTGAAATTTTCAGCAAATTCCCTTTACATTATCTACTTTTTAACAATTATAGTGAGAACTGCCAGCTCTTTATCTAATCTCCCATAATGTATCTTAAAGGAGCAAAGTCCGTAACTCAATATCATCCAAAATCTTCGACACTGAAAACACAAATTTTTATGCAATTTAAATAAGCATTGGTGTTGTGATCTTACCTGGAAAAGATGGTCTTCTGATATCCAATATTTAAGACAAAATAAACATTTTACCATTGGTACACGAATCGTGTACCATAATGCATTTCAGCACCATTTGTAACAAGGTGCTCAAAGAACGAGGCTAGACATATCCCACAAGTCATGTCAAACAGTGATATCATATTCTTATTTGGAGAGCATGTGCAATAAATAATATCGGTGTTGACTGGAATAACCAGATGCTAGAAACTGACTTGCTGTTGAGACTTCTGGTGTATTTCGCCGAACATAACTGATGACAATTCACAGTAAAACGGACACGATTGAATGTAAAACGGTTTATATAAATTCATATGTGTTGCGACTCATTTGTGCCAATTTCTAGGTCCAAAATATTAGCGATTTAGCTCCTTTAAATCCACATGATTTTATATTAGAATCATGGATACCATCAAGTGACATATATTTTTCACAGGTACACCCCAAAACTGACTTCATCAATCCAAATACATGTATCTAACTTAAAAAATAAATTGTGTTGGGGCTATCCCTATCCCAACCCCATTGTTATCAATTTATATAATTTAATTTTGTGCCTATTCCCTTTCATAAAGCCTTCATATGTCATTAAATGTTATTACTTTGCAGATATCTGACTTAGCTCTAAGCTTCAATAGGATTATAGCCACCATCCTTACACATGGGTTTCTCAGTTGTCTCTCACAACTAGAAAACTAAATGTTGAAATAAAGAACTTTTGTGATACACTTTAATTTACCTTCGTAGGTTTGAACCATTTCTATATTTCAAATTATTATTTGTAGGATGGTTTGGTTGGTTTTAGAAAGATAACTTACCAGAATCCAATGACAGCTAAAGATTTCTTTAATGGTTTTATATCAAAGACTGAACAGAAGTGTATAGTATTTAATTGTGACAATAATGAAGAATCATGTGTTTCCTGATAGTAGCTTATTGTAGTTTTGTAAGATAGCAGAGTACTGCCAAATTGATTAAAACCCAGTTTCCAGAAGTGAGCGTTCAAAAAATGAGTTACCAAGTGCAGAGTGTTAGTGCAGAATTGTTATGTTTCTCCCACTTCTAAAGACCGCTACTCGCAAATAAAATATTCAATAAAAATTTACAATATATTACTCCCAAAATGATCTAGTTTGTGTCAAGTGGGCATTAAATACCAATTCTCTCTTTAGTTAGGATACCATATCAGTTGGAATCAGGGGCGTAAATGTGGGGGGGTCGGTCGCAAAATCAGTGCAGTCGGTCGCAAAACAAGAGCAGTCGGTATCAAAATAAGTGCACACTGCATACGTCACGCTACTCACGCAAAACTTTAGTATAAAATAACCTTGTCAAATGCTGTGTTTCACTGTTATTCTGTTGTGAGTATGTTGGTCTATGAACAAATTTCCCCCAGGAAGAAAAATAGTCGGTCGCAAAGTCAGTGCAGTCGGTCGGAAAATAAGAGCAGTCGGTCGCAAAATAAGTGCTCACTGCATACGTCACGCTACTCACGCAAAACTTTAGTATATAATAACCTTGTCAACTTATCATGTTTGAAAAAATGTCGTGTTTCACTCTTATTCTGTTGTGAGTATGTTGGTCTATGAACAAAATTTCACCCAGGGAGAAAAATAGTCGGTCTCAAAATAAGTGCAGTCACTGCAGTCGGTCTCAAAATTATGCATCGGCGACTCAATGAATTAATGAGGTAAACAAACAATGCCAGAATAGATCCCAAATACTATGTATTTGCGTGAATCCGTGAGCCTAAATTGCAAACGTCACACAAAACTATAGTATAAAATAACTATGTCTGCTTGTCATGTTTGAAAAAATGTTTATCACTCTTATGCTGTTGTGAGTATGTTGTTCTATGAAATTTTTTTCCCCCATGGTAAAAAAAATAGTCGGTCTCAAAAAATGTACTCACCGCAGTCGGTCTCAGACTAAATGAATTAATGAGGTAAACAAACAATTACAAAACAGGCGAAATTGACTGATAGGCCGCAAGATTCTGTCTCATTTCTTATTCTCTCGTTAGCGAGAATTTGGTTCCATTTGCCATGACAATGACAAATTTTCAGGCCCAGTCCTGAAAAATTAAAAGCCCGGTTACATATCTGAAAATTTTTCGCGTCTGCGGCGCTCGATTCCGTTGTAGCAACATTCTTCTATTCCTCTGTTTTCTTATACTGTCTCGGCACTATCATATTCACGGTTATAGTGAACTGCCCAGTTATACTGGTGTGTGGGTCGTGGGGCGTCAGACTATACAAATGTTATGTCAACTCTTGCAAAACAGGCGGAATTGACAGGGGGAGATCTCGAGATTCTGTCCCATTGGCTCACATTTCTGGTCCTCTCGTCCACAAGACTTCCCCCCAGCAATGACCTCAAGTGCTAGGATATTGACTCAATTTTTCAAAATTTTCTCAGGTTGCTCAGTGTTATAGGCACAATTATCATGTATGACATAAACATGTCAACTTAAATAAAACTGCTTTCCGGCGAGACAACGATCGGCGAACAAGTATGTTCTACTGGGACGCTTAATGTTATAGCCAGTATTTTGTTGACATTCATTGTGGGGTGGGAATGTGGATGGCGCCCTAGATTTGGAACCACCCCCTATTCCCAGCTTCGAGATCTGCTCTGCACATGTCCCCTAGAAAACGCGCGGCTCCTGACTGCGTCACTCGTACTGGGGTATGTGCATCAGTCGATCGCATTTTGGCTAAACACCCCCCCCAAACAAAAGCGTTATGTTAGTCTCAAAATTACCCGAGTATTGTGCTGGCTAGACGTCAATCTCTATTTTTTTCCTGCCCCATGGTGAAAGATGAACCTATAAACAGTTCTCAGTCTTAAACTCTTACTCCCTATAGATCAAGTTATCTCATAAACATGTCTTGCAGTAACTGCGGCTGGCCTTCTGCTATGACTGTTGTGTTTGAGAGGTGGGGTACTGGTACTTTGTTTTTAGCTTGCCCCTGATATAGAATACTGGTAGAGAGGACTAATAATTGATGAAGAGGAAGGTCTGTTTCATGCTTAATGGAGATTTGATTATGTCTGTTTCCTAGTACTGATAATATTTCAAAATGTATCCAAAAGAACACAGTCCTTGTATGGGCCTCTTTAGAAATCATGTTCTGCACTACTCATGCAAGTAGAAATTTATCTATTTTACCAATGTTTTGTTCCAATTCCTCCCATTCATTTTGAACTTTAAATTGCTGGAGATAAAGTGAACTACAATCCAACAGTAAAAATGATTTATTTTGTTAAAATGAGTATCAACAGTTATTTACATAACATAATGTACAATGCTTAAAACTAGAATATTTACATAATGTACAAAGCTTAAAGCTAGAACATAAACAAACTGAATGTACAACATGTTGTATTTACATTTTTAAAACATAATAATTACTAACAGTCTTAACCCAGTTACGCATGGCATCTTACTGGTTGGCTCTTTGAAAATCTCTCATAAAATCTACCAGTCTTTCAGCTTCGTGTACATGTACAGCATTATATACTGATACTCTGATACCACCAACAGATCTATTAAACATTACAATAATATTAAAAGGACTGAATAATTAATTTCACTATCTTTACTCTTTCATTCATAGAATTTATATCAGAAAAAAATAATTATAATTGTACTACAGGTGGTCCCATACTAGTCAATAAAAGAATCAGAAATAATTTAATAGTCATACTCATAGTATAATAATAATTACCAAGTATAGTTCATGACATGTGTTACTATGTGTCAGCAGAAATCAACAATAGAGGTACAAAGTCCAACTTTTGATCTGTCAATCAATGTTTTTGTTATTATTATTATGTAAATTCCAGACAGACAGTTACAGAAGTTAGTCCTGATAACCAATTTAATCTGCATTCAATAAACAACCTACCTATGACCCTTCAATGAAATTAACCCACTCTGATGAGCTTCTTCAATAAATCGTTTTTCTAATGCTTCATCTTCTTCATTTACACCTATTCTAAATGTTATATTCATACGACTTCTACTGTCCCTTTCAATTGGACACCTGCAATTAAGAAAATTTTAAAAAATAACTATAAACATAAATTATTCGACTTCATTTTTATTTTCTGTTTTCTTTACTTTTTATTCATGACTAATAGTGCCAAGTAAACAGAATTCTTTTCCAAGACAAATATATATTTATTTACTTACTGATAAAATCCATTAGAATTATCAATAATATCATATAGTAAACTTGATTTCTTCTTGGAATTTAATTCCATTTGATGAACACCACCCTGTTCTTTGATCCATTGAAATACTAAGCCCATTATATAAATGCTGAAAGTAGCCATACAAATAATTTATTAAAAAAAATTGACAAAAATTCTCATGGTTAAGATTATTTTTATTTTGAATATTTATTTTATTATGAATAATCAATATAAAACTGAGGTCGATCTCTTATTAAAAATTTGAAGATCAAATGCCTGGCATTCATTTAGTCAATATGGAACAGAATCCTTAAAATGTTTTCACATATTTACATGTTAAGTCGACTATATGATGGAATACCTGTAAGTAGGTGGAGTATTATAAACTGAGTTATTGCCAACTTGTGTCTTATAGTCCATTAAAATAGGACAAACAGGATCAGCAAACCCAATCAGATCTTCACGTATAATAACTAATGTAGCACCAGCACAACCAATATTTTTCTGTGCACCGGCAAATATTAAACCAAACTGAAAGGCAAGAATATTTATATGAAATTCCACAATTTGTTAGAAACCAAATTTGTCATTTGAGCTTTAGGAGCCATAATTTTAATTTGACTAAAATTACATTATGAATAGTCAAATTAGACTGTATGTAAATCTGAAATTAATCCACTGGGATATAAACATTTAAACCATCAATTTATGAGTTATACATTCATTCTTTATTTTAAACAACACTGATGCAAAATACCATACTCTTCCTTTTCAGTATTATTAAGTGAGTCTATGGTTATTTTGAATATGACATAAGTAATTACATTTATTTCCTTGGTAAGAGTAATAATACACATGAACATATACTCATATACTTTTTTAGTGATTTGACTTAATACTTGTTTTCTGTTTTAACCTATTTTAATACTTTTATTGAATTACAACAAAACTTACTTTTGAGATATTGATATGTTTAGAGAGTATATTAGAAGACATATCACAGACAAGAGGTACACCATTAGTTTCTGGTACAAACTGGAACTCAACACCTATAATAACAAATATAATATTAATACCAGTTTTTGTTTTACAGGCTAACTGTAACTAAAGAATATGTAAAAGTTTATGATTAAATGTGTAATCATATCCATTACCAAATAAGGCATGTTTTTAAAAGACCGTCTTAAAAACAAGTGTCAACCTTGACATAATGTTGGTATATTATGCTATAAATCTTACCATGTATTGTTTCATTAGAACAGTAATAAACATAGGATGCATCTGGGTTTAATTTCCACTGTGACTGATCTGGTATAACTAAAATAAACAAATCAAATATTATTGTTATTCCAATGCACTTGATTTCTTCGGTTTCAGACATTAATAACAATGAATATTTTTACATCCCTCTTAAACTAAATTTTTCAATTTTTCTTAAATCAAGAAATTAATAAACAAATTAATTAAATACCTGTATATTTATCAGTTTTAGGTAATACTCTGTTAATTTTGCCATATTTCTCTGCTTCTTTTGCAGATTTAGCCGACCAACTTCCAGTAACAATATAATCGGCTGTTGCACCTTCCTTCAAGTCTATCAGATTTAAAGGAACTGCTGAGAACTGTCCAGTTCCACCGCCTTGAACAAATATCACTTTATAGTTATCAGGAATATCTCTGGAATAGAAATTCACATTCTTAATAGGCCTCTTAGCATTTTAAATTGTCTGAAATGAGAGTAGCTTAGTAACTTCCTAATCCAGACGGTAGTATTTATTATACTTATTAATTGGTGCGGTAGTTAAATTGTACACTTTTTCAGTGACATTATAATTATTTCATCAATAATTTGAAATGTTTTATTATTTTTACGGTACTTACAATAAGTCCCTCAAATCTTTTTCTGCATTACCAATAATCTTTGTAAAATCTGATGACCTGTGACTTAATTCTAAAGAATAAAATGAGAAATTGTAGTCCAAAGTTAGTTTAATTTGATTAAAAGTTCAACGAACCTTTATAAATAGCTAATCATCCTATTGAAATCCCTCAAATTTGTCAAATGACAAAAGATTGAAATTCAACACACACACAAAAATTTAGAAAGTTCAAGGTCTAGTGAACACATCTGTAAGTTTAACATATCTGCATGTACAATGTTCATTTAAAATGGAAAATCCCCACAATTTTTTTTCATCCAGTAGTTTGATTGTGTTATTTATACATTTAACAAAATTTCTTCTTTTTTTTTCTTTAAAAAAAAATCTATCAATGAATATGTGTGACATTGTTGAATAACATGATGGATTTTTCAATGATCAGAAATCAATAGTATTAAGACAATGAAAACACACCACTGATTTGACTGGAAGTGCTGATAAGACATAACGCAGATGTCTGTACCATAAAATCGTGATTTTAAACATTCCCCATTTTGTCAAAATCTATGTTTTGTGTTTGAGAGAATTGGTCTGTTGTAGATTTACGTGATAGTGAAAACATCATTCTCACAAGTTATCGTCATGATCTGATGATGTTACATTCACAATTGAAGTGCTGCGTTTCCACTGCGTCTCAGTATAATATTACTACAAGTCGTAATATTACTACAAGTCGGAATAGCCGTAAATTCAAAAAGACCCTGGATAAAAACACTTTTGTCCAAACAAATTAGTAAGGCTTACTTACCCATTACACTAACACCTGTATTGTTGTAGTTTAAAAATTCTTTCTGGGCTCGGTCTAATACCTGAAAAAGGAATAAATACATTTATTTACTAGCAGGATACCCGGCTTCGCTCGGGGGTCATAACTCCGAAACCGGAAGTGGTAGACTAACGCCACCTGGCCTCTGTTACTCCCCTGTCCGAGCTACCCCTATACCCCAAATTCCAGACTCGGGACAGACCTAGTGTAGCTGCCAACCCCGAACAGACCGGCTTCGCTCGGGGGTCATAACTCTGAAACCGAAAGTGGTAGACTAACGCCACCTGGCCTATGTTACTCCCCGATCCGAGCTACCCCTATACCCCAAATTTCAGACTCGGGGCAGACCTAGTGTAGCCGCCAACCCCGAACAGACAGACTTCGCTCGGGGGTCATAACTCCGAAACCGGAAGTGGTAGACTAACGCCAACTGGCCTATGTTACTCCCCGGTCCGAGCTACCCCTATACCCCAAATTTCAGACTCGTGACAGACCTAGTGTAGCCGCCAACCCCGAACAGACTGGCTTCACTCGGGGACCTTAACTCTGAAACCGGAAGTGGTAGACTAACGCCACCTGGCCTATGTTACTCCCCGGTCCGAGCTACCCCTATACCCCAAATTTCAGACTCGAGGCAGATGCAGCCGCAAACCCCGAACAGACAGACTTCGCTCGGGGGTCATGAATCCGAAACCGGAAGTGGTAGACTAACGCCTCCTGGCCTATGTTACTCCCCGGTCCGAGCTACCCCTATACCCCAAATTTCAGACACGGGGCAGACCTAGTGTAGCCGCCAACCCCGAACAGACCGGCTTCGCTCGGGGGTCATAACTCCGAAACCGGAAGTGGTAGACTAACGCCACCTGGCCTATGTTACTCCCCGGTCTGAGCTACCCCTATACCCCAAATTTCAGACTCGGGGCAGACCTAGTGTAGCCGCCAACCCCGAACAGACAGACGACAGTCACAAATATTAGTATAGATTATATTATTTTTTTTTTCTTTCTAATTTTATTTAAAGTGATATTGTGGTAACATTTAGCCCAGCATGAGTGCATGTAAATATGGACTACCACGGTTCCTTGAAAAAAAATTAGAGAAAAATGGATAATTCATACTAGTAGAGCCCAAAACTTCCCTAGACCACCGAGTTATGTGAATATCTCTCCATATGGTAAGACTGTATAAATAATTGTTAGGGGTGCTAAAGCTATTGGGGGGTTGGATGGCTGAATGGTTAGCATGTGCATGCTGTATCATAAAGTCTGTCATTGAGTCAACTACCGTGGTTTCGATTCCCCGGTTGTACGTGACAAGGAGTAGGGTCGCCTGTCCGACCTTGTGGGTATTCTCCGGGTCCTCCGGTTTCCTCCCACTGCTAAAGACCCCTACGCGCAAGCGGACTATTGAAATAAAATTAAACCATACATTACTCCCGAAATGACCTAGTTTGTGTCGAGTGGACGTTAAACCTAATTTCTCTCTCTCTCGCTAAAGCTTTTCGACTAACTAGAGTGGTTTGAGACTGTCTAAGCAGCTCTAGTTTTAGGCAGTGCTCAAGGGTTCATCAGTTCATGTTTATTTATATTTGATCCCCAATTGTATAAAACCATTCATATTAGTGTAATCAGAATTCTTATGCACTACAAACAGCTCAAAAATATGTCAATGCCCAAAGTAAACTGGACCAGATATTTGGGTCACAAATCTATAGGCTACCTACTATTGTATAATTTCTATGTCACAGCTAGCCTAGTTTTACAGCAATAGGTTCTGCTTTTTGTATGTAACAAAATTATTTTGGCTTTGTCAATAGTCATAATTTCTTTAGACTTTAATTTAATATTTTATTATTCAAAGAAATAGCTTACTCAGCGCATCATCATACCTAAATAGTCCACCTATAAATCTTTGAATATGCATGGTAGCTTACCCTCATTTGAAAGACAATAATTCTTTAGGCTACAATTAAATGCTGGGTATCTATATGGAAATGAAATGGGATTGAACATCCTACTTTTCTGCACCCGCTGGGCTAATGAAAATGGCCCTGCACATAGTGTGCTATGAAGGAAATTTTGCCCGGATAGCATTTCTATGGCTTATTCTTATTTCGCATTCCAATTGTTAAGAGTTCTTTTACGTAAACGCCAATGTGTACTGGGAAACTCAGTTTTCTGTGCCATCCGAACAACTAGACACTTCTTCAGTTCTTGTCAAGTTCTCCGTCCTGCACCACTATCATACTATCAGCGACAAGGGGAAAACGGTACCATATCTAAATGAAAGTATACCTTACAAAATGGTAGGCACTAATGAACAAGTACCTCACATAATTTGAATATTGTGCCAGGCAAATGATTAGAAAGATATGTGCTAGACAAAATGAAAGACACTAGAAGAGACGTCTCAGAGGGGCATATTGTACACCACCATGTCTGTGACACTTGCCTTATTAACTTATCCTGGCGTAAATTATTACCGTAATTCTTTTGCATGTTGCTTTCTACAGTTCAAAATGAAAATCTAACAGACAGTTCATTTAACATATAATAATATAAACTTACATAATTTGCTTGGATTAAATAATTATAAAATTAATTGTAAATATTTCATACCGGTAGCTACAGTAGATCTACTACTAGTACTAGTGCACAAATAATCTTAGCAATGAATTTATAATTAAAATAAGGAACTGTCGCTTACCTCTTCGGGTAGTTTTGCAGGCCCGGGTGAAAAATTCACTACTTTCCTTGATTCCATTTTCTGGAGTCGATATGCAATTATGCGGATTACAGCACAGAATGTTGTTGAAGTTTTTCTCTTGACAGTCTGAAAGAAGTGAGGACGAGCTATGGTGTGGCAGTCTTTTATAATTTTCTTGACAGCGCTATTATTGTATTTCTAATCTTTGATTGGATGAGATGTACAAGGACATTTCGATTGGTTACTCTCGACCTTAGAGACCCGCCTGGCTAGTCTCTTCAAAGTCAAGGCCAGTATTCTTCCCAATGGAAGTTGCGAAACTGTTGTCCCAGATAATATAAGCAAAATCTTTATATAATTCAAGGATGGCATGTCTTTCATAACAGTTTTAAATCAATCAGTCGGTGCTCAAAAATGCGACTAAGTAAAATATGTGAAATCGACGTAGCCTACAGCTTGCACAAACAGCTAGAATACCAATTATATGTATGCGGCCTGAAATGGGCGTTATGCATGATGCAATAAAATTTAATCAGCCGTATTTCGGACAATGCACTTTTAGGGTTGAAAAAGAAATGACAACTTTGGACTTCAGATAGAGAATACCAAGACGTGACCTCATTTGAAGCTGACTGTTGCCAGTGTTGGTCAAGTACTACGGTACCCTTTATTTTCCACAACTAAGCTGAATCCACGCTAAATCAAATTTAACAACGAACGATAATTAGTCTTCGATTACTTCGAAAACTCACGGTCCAGACTCATGAACCAGCAACAGAATTCAAATTAATCTACAGCGAGCAAAAAAGCTTATAAATCTAAAAGAAATCATGGGTCAATTATAACTTTTATAGTTTTCCCAAAGCTACAGAAAATTAGTGACCTAAACTACAGTTAATACACTAGACTAGCCGATATTAACTGTTAATTTAATGTTTAATTTCCTACAGAAAACACACTATCACAATTTAAATCTACTGAATATTTTTCTATAGAAATTTTCACATAATCTGTAGAAAAACTACAGTATTTGCGCTACAAACTGTAGAATATCTGGAGCCGTTATTTCCTAGAGGCCTCGAGAATACTTGGCTAAAGAATTTCATCCTATAGAAAATTGGACTCGATCTCGACCCCCCCCCCCCCCGTCCCCAAAAGAAAAAGAAAGAAAAACAGAAAACCCTATAGAATTTCTGTATTCTATAGGATTTTGGGGTAAAAGGGAACCCGGATCTTCTGGTTAATGAGCAGGCGCCTAGCTCGCCACTGCATGGCAGTTTGTGTCTCCAGAAAGATCATCGAGATCGCTATTTCGAAAAGAATACGGTACCTTGTTGTTTTGTTTATTCTGTAATTTCTATCTTTTTTTAATAACCGAAAATGAAGTTAAATCAAAAACATTCAGAATTTTTTAACTATAGGCCTACTGCAGCTATAGTTAGGCCTACTATTTGTATTTTATAAATCATAGAAAACAAAACAAAAAAATCATGGTTGTTTGACCTTTTTCTATTTGACCAGTTAATATAAAGTTTATAAACACAAGATCAGGTTGACAAACAAATCTTCGGCAATTAAAGCCTTTAATACAGCTAAACCTTTGTTTGCCATATTCGGATATCCTACAACCGAACAACAGTTGGGAAAATATACAACCCTTTCATCAGCTTTGCACCCATTCGTCCTTACAAATATGGAAATTTTCCGCTAATATGGGCAACACGTGAATATATTATTGACTTTTAGGCGGTTTCATCAGGTTTGCGTTGAAATGGTACTGACAAATAAGGACAACCTTCGCTAATAAGGGCAACACGTGGCTTGTGAGTCGTAGTCCTCGTCAACCGGGTTCTTAGCTATCCGCTACGAGTATTCAAGAGACTGGATGCAGAAGACTTTGTAGGTCGTTGCTCGAGTGACAGCTGGTGTTCCCATTAATAATATTTCTTACAATCAGAATAGTATTTTTAGGCCAAATAGAGACTGTGGTAGTTTAAATATATCAATTTAGAAGTCGTGTGATATTTATTATATGCGACAATAAAGTACAATATTGTTGGAGCCATAGCCACATGTCATTAAAACTATATCCACTTCGAAAAATATATCCTATATAATTTGTTAAATTTCACAGCATTGCATCAGCATGTCGTAGTTCCGCTTTCAAATAAATAATAATTAAAGCCAGTTATATACATGCAACCACAATCAGCCGTGAAATTTGCTTGGGGACTGGGTTGGGTGGCTGAATGCTTTAAAGCGTGCGCGGTTAAAGAATTCAAGGACTAAAAGCTGCCTCAAATGCTATAAATCATTAATAGCATGCTAGGCCCATAATCAACCCTCTAGAACTTCGGATGGGTTTCGAGAGATTTAAATACGATTGGTACTGTACCGCACTAGGCAGTTATCGTAACAAACGGTTTAGCAATAACAATTGAGGCTACTCTGTTCTGCAAACGACGATATACTCTTCAAAAAAAGTAGGGGATATTGAAATGCAAATACCTATGCAGGTTGTCATGATAAATAGTCATGGACACTTGACATGCTTTGAGAGTATGTTCACAGTCGAAGAACTTATCGCCCGAACAGCACCACTGAGCTGCACATGCGACACGTTAGCGAGATACAAGTGAGAGGGCTTCGATCATTGTCAAATTTGACACATCAAGGAAGGGTTGATGAAAACTGCCGCGTGCTGGTTTATCTATCCATGTTTGCTTTCCTATCGGTTCTTGCATAAGATTTACTGTTTAGTGTATCTTTGCTTTGGTGTGTTACGTTTAATTTGATCGGTAGTCCCGAAATGACCTAGTTTGTGTCGAGTGGACGTTAAACCCCATTTCTCTCTCTCTTTCTTTAATTTGATCGGGAGACGTGTTCGTCGACGTCAACGTCAACCCTGCAAGAATTGGCCGTGGCACTGCAACTCAAGAGGAGTGTGTCAGATTGCCCCAAATCGTGATTGGACGGTTGATTAGGAGCATGCCACGACGAATTGCTGAATGTCTGAGGATTGGTGGAGCAATTACTCATTATTAAGACAAAAATCAAAAACGTCCATTTTCACTTTTGACGGTGTATCTCTTTGCGAGTGAAAAGGGGCCGTCAGATAAGCCGCCCATATGAACTGTTTATGTTCATGTGTAAGCAATGGGCCTGTTATTAACATAGGCCTACATACAGTGCATTTCTGCAGTTTTGTATTGTTTCTGAATATCCCCTACTTTTTTTTGAAGAGTAGCCTATATGATCCGCTCAGAATAAAGTAATATTACTCAAATTATCAATATATATCCTCTTTTCATTACCTATTTTTTAAAACTATTTTAGGCTATACAGCGAGAACTGTCATTTCTTTATTTAAATCTTATATAATGCATCTTTAAATCACATTAAGGTCTGTCATTATAAGTCGCTAACCCCAGGTGCGTATTTGGGGGGGGGGGGGTGAATAAGACCAAGTAAGCGCCTCCGTGAGATAAAAGTCACCTCAGATCCAGTCGTAGCTGTGTGATTTTTTTTCGCGAAGACGGCGCTCGATTCCATTATTCTTCCACTCCTGATCTGTGGGGCAACGGACTATGGGCTACACATTGTCTGTTAACTCTCACATTGTCTGTTGACCCCCATTTCTCATCCTCTCGTGAACAAGAATTTGCTCCCAGCAATGACTTCAAAAGACAGGATATTGAGTCAAACTAAAATTTCCCAGAGGAAGACCCCCCCCCCCCACACACACACACAGTATCGTCTTCTCTAATAAGCATTCTAAGGTTGACAAAAATCAATAACAAAATCAATAACAATCAATGTTATAGCCAGTCTTTTGTTGGCATTCATTGTGGGGTGGGATTGTGGATGGCGCCATAGATTTGGACCCCCTCCCCCCCCCCCCCCACACACACACACCTATTCATAGCTTGACTGGGGTCGACTGCCCCCGCCCCCTATGATTTACTACACAATGTTTAGACTGGACAACCTGCTCTAAATGACATCAAACTGGTTCTTTCCTCATTGCGCTAGTCTGACTTCTGTTATTATGCAAGTCAGAAAAGGAGTGAAGTAGGAGCGAGTCTGACGTATTAGAGCAGGTTATCCAGTCTACACAATGTTAGTCCGAAAACTAGACTGGATAACCTGAGCAGGTTATCCAGTCTGCACAATGTTAGTCCGAAAACTAGACTGGATAACCTGCTCTAAAACGTCAGACACACTGATCTATGTTTTTATATAGATCAGTGGTCAGACCATAGAAATATATATATTTCTATGGGTCAGACACGCTCCTACGTCACTCCTTCATCCTGACGTCATTAAGAGCAGGTTATCCGGTCTAGTCCGAAAACGGCCTGGTTTTTGTCCAGTTATATAAAAAAAAGGAAATGGGGTTTGACGTCCTACTGTTTTAATCTGACTGGGATAATGAAGATGGCATACGCCATACCGTGTGCAATGTGGGAAATTTTGCCAGGACAGCGGCACTATACATACAGTCTACTCTTATATCGAATACCAACTGCGAAGGGATAATTATGTTTTTGGGGAAAGTGCCCATATGCGGCATATGGCATAAAACACTTTAATAATACGACCAATTTGTACTGGATTGGCTATGCTATGGATTAAAAAAAATTTCTTGCCACTCAGCTTTGTGCGACATTTTTCAATCATCGGTCATTTATTCCATCAATGTTCAGGGAATTTAAGATATTTAAAATCTGTGTCTTTTTTGTCACGTTTTTCGGGCATCGTCATTATTTCGTTTCGTCAAATTTTCGGGGAGGGGAATTGCTGGTGTTCGGGGAATGTATGCAGCTTCCGCGGCAAAGCGTGGGTTTTGGGTTGCAAAACCACATAAATAAGGCCCTAATTGAGGCTGTGGGCCACTCTACTATTGAACAACTTTCAAGTGACTGTAATTTTCAAAATTTTCTTGGGGAAGCTCGCCATACCAACCGGGGTATACGCCCTATACGGTATTCTGCTGCAGGTGAAAATCTCCCTGGGTATTTCTTGCATACACAATATACACAACACAAGACATGCTTGATATATCGTCATATCACTCTCTGAGAATGGGATGCCAATCTGTTATATTCAAGAAACTTGTGGCAGCCATGGCCCTCAAATGGGAATATATCATTTCAGACAATAAGCAGCCAAAAGTGAGCTACACATGGTAGATACAGATCCAGACTTTCTTCTAGACCCCATTCAAGACTCAGATTCAATTTATAATTCTCAATTTTCATTGATTTTCACAATCAATAGGTTTCTGAACGTTTCCATCCAATTCTAATGTGTGTAGTCCTCATTTTTGGTTAAAGATACATTATGGGAGATTTTTATAGAGAGTTGGCCATTCTTGCTATTACAGTTCAAAAGTAGATGATGAAAGAAGAATATATTGAAAAATTCAGTCAAATTACTTTATTCTGAACATAGTTATCATCGTTGTAATATTTGCCTAGAAATGGTAGCGAAATGTGTCACCTTCGCCGATCGTTTGATTGACAGGCGTTAACTCCACCTACCTATCTCGATTATCAAGTAAAGTTTTCAATGGCATACGGAAACGCTTTACAGCGGCCTCGCTAAGTACACTCCATCATTTAGCCTCGATCTAACTGACGTATTTTCATCAGGTTACCCCTTATTTGATTTAATCAATTAGTGAAATCCTATTTAAATCCGAGCTGTAGCCGGGCCATCTGTGGGTCTACAGAGTTGATTTTGGTCTTGTTGTTTAAATAAAGATCTAATTTATAATTTCTATAACATCTGAAACCTAAATTAAGACTTGCAATAATCAGATTTAGCTCTTGCATAATGCATGTTTAAATGAGCGATTAACAGTTCTTTTTTTTTATGTCGCATTTGTATACATGTGTCAGTGTGTGGTGCACCCTTATACAAAAATAATTAGTTTCCTTTCCTCTTTGTTGAAAGTGAACACAGTGTACAATTTTGTTACAATTTATTACATTCGTCAATATTATATATAGCATTAGCATATAGCATCTACAGGGGTGATTAAAACAACGAACAACAATTAAAGTAACACTGATTCCCAGCATATAATCTGGATGGATTTTAGAAGTGCTATTACCTGTATTACTATACTTTTAATTTGATATGCTGTCAAAAATGGTTTGAAAATTAATCAGTGTACTATTTGCTATCTAGGGACAAGAATTTCATCAGTGTACTATTTGCTATCTAGGGACAAGCTCAAAATGCAATTATCTTCAAGCTTGTGTTTTTTAAGGTATAAACCCTTTCAAACGGGCACATTTGTTGGTCGAAGTCAAAATTATACTTGCCTATATCAAACTAGACCATTAACAATGTGCAGTAAAGGATTTCATCTTTCCTTCTTAATGACAGATTTTTTAGTAAATATCTTGTTATATTTTGGTTTACCTACTATTACCTTCATGGCACTTGAGGTTTTGTTTTATTTCTATGAGTTTAAACTGTGTTAAATCATGCTAATCCTTAGCTTATAAATAATGAAATACATGAAATGGACAAAGGATAGCATGGCATGCAGCATGCTGTATCAGCTACAAATTACTTGTTTTCTTCACTTTGTGATTCAAAATTATATATCAAGAAAACAGATTAAGAATTATGGTAAAAGTTATCCATACAGATATGCACAGACAGCAGAATTATTAATATGACTAAGTCAAATTTTAAAAAAAGAACTTTAGTTGGATATATAATATTCCTGTAGCTATTTTCAAAACAAAAATGAGTACACTCTAAATACATGGTATGAATGGAGATTAAGCTGTAGCTTTTCAGCCAGAAGACTGTAACTTTACAATGTCATAACATTCAACATGTTTTAAAAAGCCATGCATAATAAATTGTACATCAAAGTTCAGTTGTTGTACAATTTCCAGCCAGACATTTAATGTCATCTATCCTATCCATTGTTCAAATTTAACACAAACATAAAATTCCCCTCAAAAAGGTGTATTAACCTAACAGTACAGTAAATATACAAGTCAGGTGACACATCCATAATCAGCATCATACCAAAGTCCACAATGAATAATTAATATGAATGTGAATTAAATAATTAACTTGCTTTTGTAATTATTTTGGAAGATGATTCTGAAAATCAATGAAATCATTATTTACAATATTTATTTTCTAATTACATGATTTCATACAGAATTAATCAGAATGAAAGAAATAAAAAAAATAATACCACTAACTTGTGGCCATTCATAATTTGATGGATTTACTCTACGGACAGCATTAGCAAAGTATTAAAACAACTTTTACACTTACAGAGAGACATTAAAACAACAAACAACTTTTTATACTAGCTATAAGTACATCTCTGATTTCAGATTTCACCATTCTTAAACACAGGCAATTCTAATATAAAAATAATATTGAGTACACCTGTAATAACTATGTACATAAATGCAGAATATGTTTTTTCAATAAAAAATGATCATTTACAAATTTTGTAAAATTGACTATAAATTTAATAGGTTTTTTTTTTAAAAAAAATTAATTATAAAACATACTATTTACAATAAAACAGTATATGGTGTGTGAATTTCTATCGCTTCATTAATTCATATTCCTACATTATAAATGTTGACTGGAGATGCTTTTTTATTTACAATATTAATAATAACTATTTCGGTCTCTGTAACCACCATGATGACCCTGACCTTTTCCTTGACGACCATAATTTCTGTTGTCATAGTAATCTCTATCCCGGTCTCGATTCCTGTCTCTATCTCTGTGGCCATCTCTTCTGTAACCTCTATTTGACTGACCACCATGATAACCATATTCTCGACTTCTGCAATGAAATCAAAACCCTTTGATTACAGAACAATTTTCTTTTTGGACAACTTCAATTAAAATCAACGAATATCTTTAGCATAATGAGTTTTATTATTTTATTTGATTGGTCAGGTCATTGTAAACAAAATAGATTTAGAGACTTACCCATTGCTGAATATTTATACATGTAGTTAGTCTATAGACTACATGGGTACTTTGGCTAAATTTATATTGATTATTTTCAAAATAAATAGAACATTCTCTGGGATATTCTCATGAAACTTTATTTTGAAAAACACACAAATGGGTGGAAATCTGGCCTAAGTAGCTAGGTAAAGGGAATGGAGAGTAGCTAGTTAAAAACATTCTAAGATGTGTTTTACCTGTCACGACCATGACGATCATAGTCTCTATCATATTTTCTGTCTCGATCATCACGATGATAATCTCGTGATCTATCACGATCTCTATCTCTGTTATAATCATCAGATCTACGCTTATATGACCTATCCTTATCTTTATAATCATGACTTCTGTCAGAAGACTGTTCAGCAGAAGAAGAGTGGCGACGATTGTGGCCACCATCCGAGTGATCACAGTTTTTATCCAAAGACGATGAACCTGTGATGTATGACTGATTGAGGGTAGGTTCTTCAGGCTGGGTACTTCCTTGAGGAGTTGACATTTCACCAGAACTAGATGCACCATCTTTTGTTTTATTATCATCTGTGTTTATAATATTTGTTTTACTGTCAGTTTTATTCAAAATGTTGTCTTCCACAGTTTTGTCACCAATCTTTTCTGTTTCTTTAGTGTCAGACTGAATTTTCTCCACTGATTCCTCAGGTGCAGTTTTACTACCAGAAGTCCCACTCTCTTCCTCAAGAACATGTTTATCAGAATTTTCTTCTGGATTATGGGTTTCTTCAATGGAGCTGCTTTCAGAATATTTGGCATGTTTAGATTCTTCAGAAGATTCTTGAGAATCATTACTGTGCTTTTCCATCGACCCAGAATCCTTTTGTCTGCTTATTTCTTTTTCCCCTTTAGAATTATTGGTTTTGTTAACATCTAACTTGACTGAAGTTTCTTTGGTAGAATCTTCAGTGGGCCTGCTTCTTTCTATTTTTTCTTTGTCTACATGTACTTCCTTAGAATCATTACTGTACTTTTCCCTCAACCCAGAATCCCTGTGTCTGCTCATGTCTTCTTCCCTTGCAGAATTACTGTTTTTTTTATCATCCAACGCAACTAAAGTTTCTGTGGTGGAATCTTCAGTAGGGCTGCTACTTTCTATTTTTTCAATGTCTGCTGCCTTACTATGTAGTTCAGATTCCTTTCCTAACTTATTTGCATCTGCACTGCCTGTATTATCAAAAGAGTTATCCCCCTTTTCTGACAATGGACTGACCGTATCTGCTGCAGAAGAATTTGGAAGTAAAGGAACATCAGTTTCCATTTCTGTGCAAGTTTTACTTGTAATTATTGTTTTTCCATCTTGGATTGTGGATTTAACTCCATCTGCAAATTCACTTGCTGCAGTGTCAGATGTTGTAGCTTGTACTTTGATTATATCCTTATTTTTGTTTGTTTCTACTCGGTTTTCAATGGACTCTGTATCTTGTGTAGATCTTTTCTTGGAATCTGACGGACTAGAAGTGTTGCCAGTGTCCTCAATAGTTTCACATAATTGATCTTGTAATTTAGAACCGTCTGTTGTATTAACACTGGCTGTGGTTTCACTATTGTCATCGGTATTGTCAATATTATCACTGGTTTTATTAGCACTATTATTATCAGTATTGTGGACATCATCAGTAGTAGATGCATTTTCTGATTGATCCATCTCTTCTTCATCCTCTCTCTCATCATCACTAGTTTTCTACAATGAAAAAATAATAAACCTCTGTTTATTTAAATGCCATATCCTTCATAAAACTCATTTGTATTATTTAATAATCATGTGCACAATAATTAATGTGGTAGGTGCAAAATAAACAATAATAATGTAATTGTGCCTGTTTAGTTATTCGTGCAAAATTAATGAACTGGTTTTTAAGTTGGGTGTCTTTCATTCAGGTATAACCCTTACATAGTTGACCAACACACGTCTAAAATTTATTCATACTTTTGGCTTATCTTGGAGTCTTATTCTAAACCAGCCAGATTTCTTGCGTTGACCAGTCTGATCTGATGAACTTCCAGCAGCTACAAAAATATATGTAGGTATACCATTAGACATTAAATAACATATAAATATATTCTGAGAACTTCATTTCATTTTTTAACAGTTAAACAATTTAATTTTTGTACCACAATTAAAACACTTCTTCAATTGATATTTTTAGAAAAAAATTAAGACACAGGAACATGAGTTTGCATTTCTTAAGTCCAAGATCCATATACAAAGGATATCTTAAGTCTAAGATACTCACTTAACTACTACATTTCACTTAAATATACGTAACTTTCTGTAAATTGCGGGTAAGTGATATTCAAAGGCAGTGTTAAGTATCGAATTTTCCCATAAAGTTAAGCTGCCTTAACTTATAAGTGTTTAGTCTTTTAGTGGTATTCAAAGGCCAGTTTTAAGTGAGAAAAATCCACCTAACTTTAAGTGACCTATGGGAGGTACCTTAAACTTAAGTGAGATTATAATGACTTCTTTTAACCCTAATTCACAATGTGGTAGCAGGCTCGTACTGGCGATTTTAAAAGTTAGGGAATTGAGATTGAAACAAAGACAATGTCGCTGAGCGTAGCTGGCATCAAACATTTTTGGGGTTTTTTTTTCACCATCACCTTTGATTTTGTAGAGCCATAATAGTGTATAAGGTTACTACCACCAAAATGGTCAAGGTTTTTTTTCCTGATCATCTACCATGTTTGTATTGCTTATTTAATCATGTTTGCCACGACTGTCATATAGTAAAGTTTGATGTGTTAAATATTTTTGTAAATTTGACATTGCGATGACATTCCATTGTAGATTTCAGAAAATATTAATACAATTTCTATGAATTTCTCAAACACTGAATGATTTCTTCAGTTTAACTTCAAATCCAATAGTCCTGTGTATTGCTAATTTTTCTACTCTTTATAATAAAGTGTACAATATCCATCATTATACTACCACTATGACTATTCGATAACTGCTATTGAAATCTATTGTTTTTGAAAAACATCCCGAAAACAACTGTTCCGGTAACGGACATGAACCTTCATAATTTATCTTAAATTATAGTCATACAATACAATATTTCGACAAACATTTCCCTAGTAATGAAAACTAATATTTTAATAGAGTATAGGGGTGCTCTTAAGGGGACATAACTTGGAGGTTATTCCATAAGTTAAAAATTCATGTTTATTGGCTAATGTTGGTATTCCATATTTTAAGTGAGCAGTTAAGTTTTTCACATAGCCAAGTGTATGTATTAATAGAGCCTTTGAATACCAATTTAAGGTAAGACACATGTTTAAGTGCCTAAATTAAGTAGTTTTACTTAATTTTAAGAAAACCTTTGAATACGGACCCAGGTTTATTTGAAGAAGACATCCATTTTGTATCTTCATCAAAGTTGTCTGCAAATTGAGACCGATACTTTGGTCATTTTGGTCATGGTAATACATGTTTTGAAATGAAATGTAGGACTGTATTACTTGAACCTCAGGCAGATGACTTTGAATTGAATTCTAATTTGATGGTTATTCATTTACGAGAGAAATGAAATGAAATGAAATGGGGTTTAACGTCCTACTGTTCTGCTCCTATACTGGGCTAATGAACATTTACGAGAGAGAACAGGATATAAATCAGCCTTAATTAGTATAAAAGCTAATGATAAACTGACTAATAAAACTAAAGCATGGCATTACAAAATGAGATGATATAAGCAAATTTCTAAAATTGGATGTGTAAACTGAGATTTTCTTGCAGAGATGCCAACCATTAATAATAAAAATTAGTAATGTGTCATAGGCAGAACAATGTTGGCCCTCTTTTTCACCTGCGATTCAATTGTAACATTCATAGAAACATATTCAGAAGTAGTTAAAGAACAACACATTGGACAGGAACTTTAAAATGAATGAATGAATAAAAAAAAGTTTTATGGCACGTCAGCCCCAACTTGGCTATATTGCGCCAAACATATGGTGAAAAGTACCAGACAAACTATATGTTATCACAAAGTATTCATGTACACAAATAAAAACAAATATCAAAGCATGTTAAATAATTAAAAATAAAAATCACAACTTCATGTACACAAATATTTAAAATGAAAAACAAGATATATACATAAATTGTTTATAAAAATCGGTCTCTTTTAAAAAGTCTAGGATTCTACAATATAGGCCTGGTTGGGCAAACAATTGATTTAAAGACTGGCAACGGATATGTTTTGATCGTATGCCCTTGAGAAACTTGCACTCAATCAGAATGTGCTTCAATGTAAAAGAAACATGAAAGTATTGACATTCTGGTTGAGGCTCTCGCTTCAAGATGAAAATGTGTGTTAAACAAGACAACAGTGAGGCTGATGTCCCCGCCGAAATCCCAAAATAAATAGATGACACATATTAATTAATCGCACATTTATTTTTTTCAAAAGTATCAAGCTATCAAACCGATTATCAACTATACACCAAGTTTCATCACTCTCTATCAGATAGAATCAAAGTTATCTGGTCCCAAAGCATCGACCAATAAAATCGCTTAGCACTGTTTAGCTTTAGTTCTAATGTTAAGCATTGAACTCTGTCAAGACATTCACCTAATGAGCATTAACATCAAATTTAAACATTCTACCTCAATTAATAAAAGCAGAGTTGTTATGTTCCAAAGTCTTGACCAATCAAATTGCTTATCGATCCTTAGCCTTAGCAGAAACTTCTCATCATCAAACTTAGTCATGGTAATGATATAATGAATCTATACTCGGGAGTTTCATCACTTTCACTTAATTAAAACCGATGTTATTGGTCCCAAAGCATCAACCAATCAGATTGCTTATCTCTGCTTACTGTAAGCAGACAATGTTTATCATCAAACTCCATCAAGGTATTCACCTAATGAACGCCTACACCAAGTTTGAACATTCTATCTCAACTAGAAGGTGAGTTATTTATTGTGTTCCAAAGTCTCGACCAATCAAATTGCTTATCGCTCTGCTTACCCTCAGCAGAAAATGCTTATTATGGAACTTAGTCAAGGTATTGATGTGATAAAACTATACACCAAGTGTCCTCACTCTCACTTAATTATTTTCTCCGGGTCCTCCGGTTTCCTCCCACTGCTAAAGACCCCTACGCGCAAGCGTATTATGTAAATAAAATTAAACCATATGTTAGTCCCGAAATGACCTAGTTTGTGTCGAGTGGACGTTAAACCCCATTTCTCTCTCTCTCTCACTTAATTAGAACTAAAGTTATCGTGTCTCAAAGCATCAACCAATCAAATTGCTTATCTCTGCTTACCCTAAGCCGAAAATTCTCATCTTAAAACTCCGAACTCCATCAAGCATTCACCTAATAAACACCCACACCAAGTTTGAACATTCTAGCTCAATTAGAAGGAGAGTTATTGTGTTCCAAAGTCTTGGCCAATCAAATTGCTTATCGCTCTGTTTACCCTGAGCTGAAAATGCTCATTATCAAACTTAGTCAAGGTAGTGAGGTAATGAAACTATACACCAAGTTTCATCACTCTCACTTAATTAAAACTAAAGTTATCGTGTCCCAAAGCATCAACCAATCAAATTGCTTATCTCTGCTTACCCTAAGCAGAAAATGCTCATCTTCGAATTCCATCAAGGCATTGACCTAATAAACACCTTTACCAAGTGTGAACATTCTAGCTCAATTAGTAAGAGAGTTATTGTGTCCTAAAAATTGTGACGAACAGACAGACAGACGGACGAACCCATTTTATAGTCCCCTGCTTTCTTCGAAAGGTGGGGGACAAAAAAGTATAACCTACATACGAGAGCAACACAAAACAACTTCATCTCTCCTGTTGGTTCTATAGGAGCTTGGCCAGTCTCCTAAGAGAGGCTTAATATAATGAAGTTTGTTTCTGCCTGCAAGATCCCAAGACCGTTGCCAGCAGCCATAAATGAAATGATTAATCGATGTTTTGAAATCTTGATATGGTATTAAACATGGTGATAGGGGGTGATCTAAAGCGGCTTTGGCAGCAAAATCTGCTTATCATTCCCCCTTATATCAACGTGACTGGGGAGCCAGCAAAAGACAATGTTTTTGCTTTTAAACTCGTAAGATAGTACTGCTACTAATGGGTGTTCAAGCTTTTTATTGTTAATTGCTGTGATGATTGAATGAACTCCAAAGCCTGGAGAATGGCCTGGAGTTCAGCTGTAAAGATGGAAACAGCAGGTGGGAGGCGGAAAGAAATGGTTTCAGATGGTGTCATGGTAGCCAAAGCTACCCGATCATCATCTTTCGAACCATCTGTATATACTGGAGCAAAATCACCATATTTAGACCTTAGCTCTCAAAAGAGAGACTGAAACACCATGGAGCTAATATCTCTCTTTTTATGTCGTATAAGATCAAAATCGATCTTTGGGGGAGATACAGCCCATGGTGGAGTCCTAAAGAAAGGGGTATTCGCAATACTGTCAAGGCTGATACCAGCCTCAGACAAAAGGGGTTGTATGCGAATACCGAATGGTAGAATAACTTTAGTCTTGAGCAGATATAAATGCTCATGATAGGGTCTAAATATGGTGTTAAATGAAATATGATTTGGTAAAGATGTTATGTTCGTAGCATACAACAGGGCCAGTTTATCACGTCTGTTGTGCAGTGAGGGCTCATGCGTCTCAACGTATAAACTGTCCACTGGAGATGTACGAAATTCCTAAACTGATAAGACTTGCGGACAGACCCATACACAATACACCCATAATCGAGTTTTGATCGAATTAATGCTCGATATAATCAGAGCAAGACCTTATGGTCTTCTCCCCAGTCAATATTTGATAAGACTCTCAATATGTTGAGGGCTTTCAGACTTTTCTTTTTAAAGGCTTTTAATGTGGGGGATATATGACAATTTCTTATCAAATATCAACCCCAGAAATTTGGTTTCATCCACAACTGGAAGGCGGTTACCATCCCAAAAAAGTTCTGGATCAGGATGCAAACCTCGTTTCTGACAGAAATGCATGCAGACAGTCTTGGATTTCGAAAAACGAAATCCATTTTCAGTTGCCAAATGTTTGAAGTGAATTCAAACAAAGCTGCAACTTAGTTCGATTATCCACATGTCTATAGAACCTTTAATTCTACAAATCCTTACCCATACCGATTTGGATGTGGTACGGGAATTGATCCTAGAGACATAACCTTGCCATGAAGACTTCTTTGCTCGACGTATGGTTTTACGGGCCTTCGCCCGGACCATCTGGTATGCCGCAATATTCCCCATGGAAATGGAAGGAGGTTCTTTAGTCGTCTCAAAATATGATCACACTCTTTTTAGGGCGGATATGCAAATCGTCATTATACCATGGTAGGAACCTTAAAATTAACCCATCATTCTGTTGTGCTTTCTATGTAATAAACAAATAAAACTAGATTTATACTTTTAATTAACTGCAGGAGTACATGGGAAAATGGACAACAAAAGTTTCTGTCAAGCCTTGGGTGGAAGTTACTTTTTGGCAACTCTGAAAATATAATGAGCCAATACGGTTGTTGTCGGTAAAACCAATATTTGATACTATTAGTAAAACTATCGTCCGTACAAATACTGATACTTGGTATACTAAATTGTAAATATTTAGACATATAATGCTTAACAATAACATGTTATTATTGTATAACATTTTTAATGATTGCCAATGGATCGGTATTTACCAAAACTTTACTTTAAATGTCAGAACCGAATGCTTGTCGCCATTTTGATTCTTACCATGCGTTCATAAATAGAATTTACGCAAATAGGCAATTTTATGGGGCGTGACATGTCGTAAACATGTATGATTGAATCCGAGTCAATTTACTTTCAAATCCCACCATTCTGTGATAGGGACTGCACGTAACTGACAACTTTCGTCTGTAATATTTTATTTCTCAACTTAACTCAAATTTTTAGTCATGATTTTGAAATGTTCGTAATTAAATTCATAATGGCATAAGTAGGGGGCAAAAATTAGAATAATTATGAAGTTTTTGTATTAAATTTGTTATAAAAGCATTATGATGAAGACTGACAAACATAACTAAGCAACTAGAATGAGCAGGATTAAAAGAGGGGTATTTAATAAGGAATGCAACCATTTAGAGAAGAGGAATATCTATTTTTGTTTTATAAACACAAGCTATAATGCACTGATATCAAATTATTAATACAGCAAGCATATATTGTCAGATATATCATACCCTCATAATCATCCTCTAAATCCACATCTTCCCCTTCAAGTTAACAAATAAATGCACCACATAAATAAAATCATCAAAGATCGATTTAAAAAAAATATGTTGATACTCATATTTAACCAATTGTCACTGATGACATTTAAGATAGGTTGCCAGGTAACAAAACATACGCCCACAGCAGCTAAATCGTCCGGGCAGTCAACAAGTGTTGTCGCATATTTTTACTTCTTTCGGTAATGAAACATTTATAATACACTCATGAAGAAATTATCAGAAAACCATTAGAATTTGTTTGGTTTTTATAAAGTTCTGCCCCATGCTAACGTTAAGTATACAAAACTTTTAATATCATGGATTTAGCTGTTCAAGTCATAAAAATTCATTGAAAATCAATATACTTGTTTGTCTCAAGCTCTTAAACTCCAAGTATCAATCTGAAGTCAATCGGATGATAACTTTAGCCTCTAGAGCGTCACAAGATTTTTCAAAGTGATCAAGGGCCATAACTGTGACAGTAATTATCGAAAATCACTGAAAATGAATAGACTTCTTTGTCTCAGGACCTTAAACACTGTGTATAAATTTAAAGTCAATCGGATATAGACTTAAGCCTCTAGAGCGTCCACAAGATTTTTCAAAGTGATCAAGGGCCATAACTCTGGCAGTAAATATCGAAAATCACTGAAAATGAATAGACTTCATCTCATGACCCTAAACACTGTGTATAAATTTAAAGTCAATTGGATATTAACTTTAGCCTTTAGAATGTCCAAAAGATTTTTCAAAGTGATCAAGGGCCATAACTCTGGCAGTAATTATCGTAAATCGCTGAAAATCAATAGGCTTCTTCGTTTCATGACCTTAAGCACTGTGTATAAATTTAAAGTCAATCGGATATTAACTTTAGCCTCTAGAGCGTCCACAAGATTTTTCAAAGTGATCAAGGGCCATAACTCTGGCAGTGATTATCTGAAATCGCTGAAAATCAATAGGCTTCTTCGTCTCATGACCTTAAACACTGTGTATAAATTTAAAGTCAATCGGATATTAACTTTGGCCTGTAGAGCGTCCACAAGATTTTATGAAGTGATCAAGGGCCATAACTCTGGCAGTAATTATCGGAAATCGCTGAAAATCAATAGGATTCTTCGTCTCATGACCTTAAACACTGTGTATAAATTTAAAGTCAATCGGATATTAACTTTGGCCTCTAGAGCGTCCTAAAGATTTTTTGAAGTGATCAAGGGCCATAACTCTGGCAGTAATTATTGGAAATCGCTGAAAATCAATAGGCTTCTTCGTTTCATGACCTTAAACACTGTGTATAAATTTAAAGTCAACGGGATATTAACTTTAGCCTCTAGAGCGTCCACAAGATTTTTTGAAGTGATCAAGGGCCATAACTCTGGCAGTAATTATCGGAAATCGCTGAAAATCGATAGGCTTCTTCGTTTCATGGCCTTAAACACTGTATATAAATTTAAAGTCAATCGGATATTAACTTTAGCCTCTAGAGCGTCCACAAGCAATTGTGGACGCCGGACCGACCCACCGACGGCCGGGGGCGACAACAATATACGACCACATTTCAATGTAGGCGTATAAAAATGAAGATAATATTGTGTTTTTCAGGGTATAAGTCAATATATTTATCCGCTGAAGTCAGAAATATGTCTTTAACTTCACATCAACATAAATAAACTAATGATCTGCACTATATAGTAAAGTCAAAGCACATTTTTCAGCTTTTTGCCACTGTCCAAATAATGTCATTTGTCTCTTGCACTGCTTTGAATAATCCATGGAAGAAGGTCAGAAAAATTGCAAATTACTTCACATCAACTTATTATATCCAACGTAAAATACGATAACTCAAGTACTAGAAGATACAAGAATTATGTTTTATTAAATCCTCACTTTATTTCATTGGTGCCAAAATTATGTTAATCAAATATATGCAAAGATTTAACAAAAAAACCAAAAAAACCCAGCGGCTGCCAGGCAGGATACGCCCACATTTTCGAGAGATGGATAGAGAACAAGCTAAAAAGAAAGTGATTTTTCCTACAATAAAGGGCCATAATTCATGAAGTTAAGATCCGATATGCGAAAATATCCAAAGGAACCAAGATCTTTAGGTTATAAACATGCATTTCAAGTTTCATCTGAATCGAATTAAAATTGAAACCTCTACAGGGTCAACAACCTTGATATACCATATTTTTACACTATTCGCGTACAAACGGCGGCCATTTTGTCCTGCAGTTTTGGGCTGATTTTCACGAAATTCAAACTTGACCTTCTTAACAGTGTAACGGTGATATAATCAAACGTTTTTTTAAATCGGATAATAATTGTGACCTCAAGAGGGACCACAAGCTAAAAAAAGGCGATTTTTCGGACAATCAGGCGCCATAATTCAGGAAGTTACGTTCTGATGGGGGCAAATCTCGAAAGGAATCAAGATCTTTGGGTTATAAACATGCATGTAAAGTTTCATCAAAATTGGTTCAAAATTGTAACCTCTATTGGGTCAACAATCTAACCAGCGGCTGCCAGGCAGGATACGCCCACATTTTCAAGAGATGGATAGAAAACAAGCTAAAACGAAAGTGATTTTTCCTACAATCAAGGGCCATAATTCAGGAAATTACAATTCGATATGCGCAAATATCGAAAGGAACCAAGATCTTTGAGTTATAAACTTACATTTCAAGTTTCAACAAAATCGGATAAAAATTGTGACCTCTATAGGGTCCACAACCTTGATATACCATATTTTTACGCTATTTGAGAACGAATGGCGGCCATTTTGTCTGTCAGTTTTGGGCCGATTTTCACGAAATTCGAACTCAACCCACCTTAGGGTTTAACGGTGATATAATAATACGTTTTTTTAAATCGGATAAAAATTATAACCTCTATAGGGTCCACAAGCCAAAAAACGCGTTTTTACGTACAATCAGGGGCCATAATTCACGAAGTTACGGTCCAATATGCGCAAATATCGAAAGGAACCGAGATCTTTGGGTTATAAACTTACATTTCAAGTTTCAAAATAAATTGGATAAAAATTGTGACCTCTATAGTGTTCACAAGCCAAAAACGTGATTTTTCGTACAATCAGGGGCCATAATCCATGAAGTTACGGTCCGATAGATGCCAATATCGAAAGGAACCAAGATCTTAGGGTGATAAACCTATATTTCAAGTTTCATTGAAATCGGATAAAAATTGTGACCTGTAGACTGTTCACAAACAATTGTGGACGGACGGACGGACGGACAGAGGCGACGACAATATACGTCCACATGAAAATGTGGGCGTATAAAAACGTGATTTTTCGTACAATCAAGGGCCATAATCCATGAAGTTTCGATCCGATACATGCCAATATCAAAAGCAGTCGAGATCTTTTGGGGATAAACCTATATTTCAAGTTTCGTCAAAATCGGATAAGAATTATGACCTGTAGAGAGTCCACAAACAATTGTGGGACAGACGTCCCGACATACGGACGTCCGGACGGACAGGGACGACGACAATATATGTCCACATAAAAATCTTGGCGTATAAAAACAAGGTGTTGTTAATAACATGTATAACTAGTAAATAATTTGTTCTTTAGTCTTACTTTGTGACGGTGTAGGCCTTTTGACCAATCCCAGAACATCTAACAAGGAGGCACCAGGTTTATTTCTTGGATCTTGGATTTCTAATCAAATACAAATTGACATCCATAATTATGAAAATTGAATGAGATTCAAGACCTGCTAAATGGGATGAGATTGAGTCTAGTGTCAATAGTTACTGTTCACAAGTGTATGATTATCATTATATGTTCTAACATCCTATAAACTGTAAAATTTAATGTGAATAAGAAAATAATATGACAATATAATTCAACACTTCTGACTTGTCACATAAGACATTTAGCTGACATATGAGTGGGTAACATAAATTTCAACAAGTGTTTAGACTGACCACCATTGGGCTGTAAAAACTTCATTATGCATTAACTTCTTGTTTTAAAATAAACAAACATGCCCTTAGAAAGCAGATGTCTTGATGGTTTTGAACCAAAATAATCATATTTAATTGGGCAAACAGAAACCGGTTTCTTGTTAGTACATAATTCCACAACAGAGACATAATATAATCTTATAACTAACCCAAAGCACCATATTATTGTCTTTTCTAATTAAATTGAATAATAAATCAGTTTACCTTTGTTTTCGTAGTCATTTATAGGTACATCTGGTTTATCTTTATAACATGTTCTCTTAGTACAGTATACCATATGATTAGCTGAAATAACATAAATATAAGACCTTATTAAAAAAAAAAAACAGCATACAAGGTTGGTGTTCTCTGCCTGAATACCAAAATAGGAACTTAATAAATTATTGTATTGTGCTGATCTGGTGTGTTGGTGATGTCATGAGGCAAGCGTCATACAAATTGTTTTTTTCTTTTAAAAGATTAATCAGAAGTTGATCTATTTACTAATCTCTGTTGTTACTAATCTCTGGTGTTATATATTTTCAATGAAGATAGAATGTCACCCCACTAAACATACATTATGCAAGAGCTAAATCTGCTTATTGCAGGTCTTTCTTTAGGCCTGAAATGTTTTCTAAATTATTAATTAGACATTAATTAAAGATACATTATGGGAGATTTTAATAGAGAGTTGGCCATTCTTGCTATAACAGTTCAAAAATAGATGATGAAAGAAGAATATATTGAAAATTTCAGTCAAATTACTTTATTCTGAACAAAGTTATCACTATTGTAATTTTTGACTAGAAATGGGAGTCAACTGTCTCTTCACCGTCTCTGAGAATGGACGATCGTTTGATTGACAGGCATTAACTCCACCTACATAATCACGATTATCAAGTAACATTTTCAATGGCTGTGGTTTGAGACAGGGTTGTACAATTCAATTCGTATCACATTTATTTTTACTACAAATTAAATATAAGACTTTTAATATATAGATAAGAAGCAAAAGTTTGAAAGGAATGGACTAAATCAATGAGGCATAATTATAGCCGACTTCTTGTTAGCCTTTGTGTACTCTTGTACTGTAACTGGTAGGCCTGTGTAACTCCCGAACAGTGATCCAATGGAGCTGAAATTCAACTGGGGTGATGTTAGCTGCGTATAATTTTTCTGTAAACGCAAGTGACAAAAGAGCGTAGCCTATAATACCGACATCCAAACTCTCATTTTAACCACAACTAAACATAATATCAATGCCGTATACATGTATATCGAACTTTCAATCAAATTGACGGACATGCGGCTTCGCTCAACAGCGGCCTCGCTTCGTACAATCTATCATTTAGCCTCGATCTAAAATTATTTCCGGAAGTATAACGTAACGGTTAATCTCCGCTTACGACGCCATTTAAAAATTTAATCAATCAATGAAATCCTGTTTAAATCCAAGCCATCCGTGGGTATACAGAGTTGATCTTGTGCTTGTTGTGTAAATAAAGATCTAATTTATAATTTCTATGACATCTGAAGCCTAAATTAAGACTTGCAATAATCAGATTTAGCTCTTGCATAATGTATGTTTAACTGATCCAGGCCATAATCAACTCTCAATAGCATCGGATTTCTCTGATATCAAATGATTTGAACAGTTCAGCCATATTTTGATTTAATTTCAAAATGGAGGAGCGAGACTTAGGTTCGAAAAACCAGTATGGTGGTTGAAATTATTGCACGTCTTGTCAAACCTTCAAAGGCTAATATCTTGCTCGGAATAGAGTAATTTGAATGAAATTTTAAAATTTTTCATTTTACATTATCTATTTTTTAACTATTATAGCAAGAATGGCTAGCTCTTTATCTAAAACTTACATAATGTATCTTTAAACAAATCAACATATGAAATAGACAATCTTATTTTTGAGCCAAATTCAAGGTGTAGTCATTTAAAGTGAACTCTAGACATTATTATTTTAAAATTAAAATTGAGAAATGGTAACACACCTATATTATTGCCATAAATACTAGCATATCCACACATACAATACATCACATGTTCCATAGGTCTTTCTTTAGGAACATTTAAACTTAATGCTGTCATCTGACCAGAATGAAATCCCATCATATGATTAGCATAAGCAAAACTACAGCTAGTAGCAAAACGACACATAGAACACTGAATATACTTTCTGGAAGAAAAATCAACTCATTAGTCAAAAATTCTGAATTTTCAATAATCAAATGAAGTTTGAATATCAATTCCAACAGGAAATTTATTTTTACTATAAGCTTATACACAGTTTTTTTTTTATATAAATTTGGAGAGAAGGATTGTGGTTGTAAGAGGATGAACTCTATTGACTCTCCCCACCACCTCTTCTGTAAACCTTGTTTACGCCATCGAAGCTACAGTTTTTAATTGATGTTTTCAAATTTGGTGTGACACATTTAGGACTGTGAGAGGATGAACCCTAACGATTTTCAAATTTGGTGTGAAGCACTGGGATCATGGAGGATGAACCCTGTTTAGTTGAAGAGCTTGTAAAAACCAGCAGCTGCCAGGGATGATACGCCCACATTTTGCAAGAGATGGATAGAGAACAATCAGGGGCCATAATATTTTTACGCTATTTGAGAACGAGGGACGGCCATTTTGTCTGTCAGTTTAGGGCCGATTTTCACGAAATTCGAACTCAACCATCCTTAGGGTGTAACAGTGATATACTAAAACGTTTTTTTAAATCAGATATAAATTATGACCTCTATAGGGTCCACAAGCTAAAAACGTGATTTTTCGTACAATCAGGGGCCATAATCCACGAAGTTTTGGTCCGATACATGCCAATATCAAAAGCAACCAAGATCTTTTGGAGATAAACCTATATTTCAGGTTTCGTCAAAATCGGATAAGAATTGTTACCTGTAGAGTTTCCACAAACAATTGTGGACGGACGCACGGACAGGGGTGACGGCAATATACATCAACATGAAAATGTGGGCGTATAAAAATAGATCAGATTTCTTGAAGGCATCCTTATCAAATTTAGACAACGTGTAAGTTTTTCTTTCAGATAAACAGCTGTATATGGCTATATTTTTTTTCAAGATTTCGCTGCTGTGTGGGCATATTTCAATGCTTTGCATTGCTATCTTTTTAAAAATGAATAATAATAACAAGCCAACAGTGAGGCTGATGTCCCCCGCCGAAATCCCAAAATAAATAGATGACACATATTAATTAATCGCACATTTATTTTTTTCAAAAGTATTGAGCAATCAAACTATAAACTAAGTTTCATCACTCTCTATCAGATAGAATCAAGATTATCCTGTCCCAAGGCATCGACCAATGAAATTGATTAGCTCTGCCTAGCTTCAGCAAGAAATATTAATCATTGAACTCAGTCAAGACATTCACCTAATGAACATCTACATCAAGTTTAAATATTCTACCTCAATTAAAAGCAGAGTTGTTATGTTCCAAAGTTTTGACCAATCAAATTGCTTATCGCTCCTTAGCCTAAGCAGAAAACTCTCCCCATCGAACATAGTCAAGGTAATGATATAATGAATCTATATTCGAAGTTTCATCGTTCTTGCTTCATTATAACCAAAGTTATCGTGACCCAAAGCATCAACCAATAAGATTGCTTATCTCTGCTTACTCTAAACAGACAATGTTCATCATCGAACTCCATCAAGGCATTCACCTAATGAACATGTACACCAAGTTTGAACATTCTACCTCAATTAGAAGAGAGTTATTGTGTTTGCTTATCACTCTGCTTACCCTCGACAGAAAATGTTCATTGTCGAACTTAGTCAAGGTATTGATGTTATAAAGCTATACACCAAGTGTCCTCGCTCTCAATTAGAACTAAAGTTATCGTGTCCCAAAGCATCAACCAATCAAATGGCTTATCTCTGCTTACCCTAAGCAGAAAATTCTCATCTTCGAAATCCATCAAGGCATTCACCTAATAAACACTACACCAAGTTTGAACATTCTAGCTCACCGAGGCAGAGAGATATTGTGTTCCAAAGTCTCGGCCAATCAAATCAATTGCTTATCGCCTTGCTTACCCTGGGCAGAAAATGCTCATGATCGAACTTAGTCAAGGTATTAATGTAATGAAACTATACACCAAGTTTCACCACTCTCACTTAATTAGAACTAAAGTTATTGTGTCCCAAAGCATCAACCAATCAAATTGTTTATCTCTGCTTACCCTAAGCAGAAAATGCTCATCTTCGAACTCTATCAAGGCATTGACCTAATAAACACCTACACCAAGTTTGAACATTCTAGCTCAATTAGAAAGAGAGTTATTGTGTCCCAAAAAGTGTGACGGACAGACGGACGAACCCATAATAGCCCCTGCTTTCTTCGAGATTCCATAAACCCTTTTATCATTTACTTATAGAATATCCGTTACCAGTTACCATTAAAAATTAGTCAAGGTATTACTGTAATGAAACTATACACCAAGTTTCATCAATCTCACTTAATTAGAACTAAAGTTATCGTGTCCCAAAGCATCAACCAATCAAATTGCTTATCTCTGCTTACCCTAAGCGGAAAATGCTCATCTTCGAACTCCATCAAGGCATTGACCTAATCAACACATACACCAAGTTTGAACATTCTAGCTCAATTAGGAAGAGAGTTATCGTGCCCCAAAGTATCAACCAATCAAATTGCTTATCTCTGCTTACCCTAAGCGGAAAATGCTCATCTTCGAACTCCATCAAGGCATTGACCTAATAAACACATACACCAAGTTTGAACATTCTAGCTCAATTAAAAGTTATCGTGTCCCAAAGCATCAACCAATCAAATTGCTTATCCCTGCTTACCCTAAGCGGAAAATGCTCATCTTCGAACTCCATCAAGGCATTGACCTAATCAACACATACACCAAGTTTGAACATTCTAGCCCAATTAGGAAGAGAGTTATCGTGTCCCAAAGCATCAACCAATCAAATTGCTTATCTCTGCTTACCCTAAGCGGAAAATGCTCATCTTCGAACTCCATCAAGGCATTGACCTAATAAACACATACACCAAGTTTGAACATTCTAGCTCAATTAGGAAGAGAGTTATTGTGTCCCAAAAAGTGTGACGGACAGACAGACGGACGGACAGACGGACAGACAGACAGACAGACGGACAGACAGACGGACGAACCCATTTTAATAGTCCCCTGCTTTCTTCGAAAGGCGGGGGACAATAATATTCTTCATAAGAAATGTTAAACATGTACTTTCCTTTCAATTAATATTTAAAGGTGTAAGATATGACACAAACATAGGTCATAAGAAATTTAATGAATAAACCTACAATAAAATACCTACTTGTAATGATCTTGTGTTCCCATTAACATTTTACATTCCATACAGTGAATTTGGTTTACAGCACCTGGTAAAACAAGATGATTATCTCGAACCTTAGAGACAGCTGGTGCATTAAGGGACTTGATCTGTTTTGGTTGTAAACCTTGTTCTGGTACTTTTATCATTACTTGATCAGGTGTTGTATATTTAGAATTCATACCTGAAACAATAGTCCCAGTAATATAAAATCAACAATGCACCTTTATCACAGGATGACAATAACTAAAATTTTTAATATTTTTCTAAATAATTTAATAAATTTTGAAAACTAATTTAAAACTTACTAGCTATTCGGCATGTTTGTTATTGAAGCAAAATCACAGTTAATCTGATCATCCCATCAAACAGAAAACTGACAATTTTATTGGATTTTATAGATTGATTTGTTTTGTGGGATACGAAAACCCTTAAGATATAACACAGTAGGCTAAAAATGAAACTAATATTGGTAAACCAGCCAACTTCTGATTAATATTTCATGACAAAATTAATTATCATTGAGCTTGCCCCATGGGAAAAAAACAAAACAAGATCAATCCAATTCAATAATTTTTCATTACCCATTGAATTTTAGATCCTTTAATTAAGTATTTGATGAATGAATCTGTTAAATAACATCTCTTACCTATAACTCCTTTTATATTTGCTTGATGGTCTTTTCTTCGATGAGCTTTAAGATCTTGTGGGTTAAAGAAAGTCAGTTTACATACTTGACATTTGCGGATCTTATTTTTGGACTGATGTTTTAATAAATGATGATAATAATTTTGTGTTTGTCCCCAACCAGTAGATACAAATTTTACATGGAATGCTTTTAGACAATACAAACATAACATGTTCTCAGAACTATCATGTTTCTGAAAGCAAAAAGTAAACAATATCATTATGACAGAAAACTATCTTGTTTCTGAAAGCAAAAAGTAAACAATATCATTATGACAGAAAAGTATAACAAATTTATGTTTGCTTTGTAACTTCTTCAAATCGGACGTGGTATCAGTGGTTCAAAATTAATTGCCATCAATCCTTCAATAATATTAGTACTCGCTCTTAATAGGAGTGCTGTGAAGTCCTGGTAATAAGATGAGTTGCAGAACTATCTAACTGGTCTTAATAGTGTGAGTTGTCAGTATTAACGAGTAATTTATAAGTAATAGAGAAGGAAATCTTTTTTTAAAAAAATATGGTTATGCAGAAAACCCATAATAATGAGTTGGGTCATTGAGCAGGATTTATCTGTACTCTCTCTGTTAACTGACTACAACAGGGATTTACTATACCACTGATGTCCAGGGCCCTGTTTCTCGAAATCTTAACTAAAGATAAAATCCAAATTTTAGTAGATACTTCAATTTTGATTGTCTAAGCACTAAAATCAATCTACCGGTAATATTATCCAATCAAATTACTAAAATTTGGATTTTATCTTAGTTAAAATTTCGTGAAACAGGCCCCAGGGTTATAGTAAAGCAAGGATTTCATGTGATCGACATTGAAAGCCATGCTGAAATCAGTGCTATAGGAAGATCATATTATATTTTCATTTCCAGTGTATATAGTTACGAACTTGAGAGGTTAAGTTTCTGAATAGTGAGTATTGATATTTGAAACACATTATCCCCTACTACAAAGAAATAACTCTTTGCATTAAAATAAACTGTCTATGGATGATACCTACTTTTTTAAAGTGATCAACAACATCACTGTACATAGAGGAACGGAATTCACATAACTGGCAAATATAGGGCATCTCACAAGCATTATGATTCTGTCTCATATGTGATGTTAACCCAACTCGACTCTCATGATCTTTCTCACAAATTCTACACATTAACACATTACTATTGTTTAGATGAACCTGAAAATGTTTATAAGAAATTTTACAAAAGATAGGTTGCCAGGCAACAAAACATAAGCTCACAGCAGCTAAATTGTTCGAGCAGTAGACAAGGGTTGTCGCATATTTATTCTTTTGTAGGTAATTAGAGGCATTTAATAGACAATTTCATACAGATGACATTATAATTTTCGTCGTTTGGGGGTTCACAAGGTTCTAAAAACTAAAACAAGGGCCATACTCTGGAAGTAATCTACAGAAATTGTTAAATATCGACAGGCTTTTTTGTTTTACTAATTCAAATAATGCATATAAATTTCATACAGATCGGATGATAACTTTTGTCATTCGAACGTTCACACGGTTCAACAAAGTAAAACAAGGGCCATAATTTTAGAAGTAATTGACATAAATTGCTGACATTCAATAGGATTCTTCATTTTACTAATTTAAATGATGCATATGAATTTCATACAGATTGGGTGATAACGTTTCAACAAAGTGAAACAAGGGCCATAACTCTAGATGTAATTAATGGAAATTTGCTGAAACTCAATAGGCTTGTTCGTTTTACTAATTTAAACGATACATATAAATTTCATACAGATTGGATAATAACTTTTAACATTAGAGCATTCACAAGGTACAACAAAGTGAAACAAGGGCCATAACTCACAGCGTAATTAACGGAAATTGCTGAAATTCCATAGGCTTCTTCATTGCACTAATTTAAATGATGCATATCAATTTCAAACAGATCGGATGATAACTGTTGTCATTAGAGCGTTCACAAAATTCAACAACGTGAAACAAGGGCCATAACTCTAGATGTAATTAACGGAAACTGCTGAAATTCAATAGGCTTCTTTGTTTTGGATAATAACTTTTGACGTTAGAGCATTCACAAGGTACAATAAAGTGAAACAAGGGCCATAACTCACGGCGTAATTAACGGAAATTTCTGAAATTCAATAGGCTTCTTCGTAGCACTAATTTAAATGATGCATATCAATTTCAAACAGATCGGATGATAACTGTTGTCATTAGAGCATTCACAAGATTCAAGTGAAAGTGAAACAAGGGCCATAACTCTAGATGTAATTAATGGAAATTGCTGAAATTCAATAGGCTTCTTTGTTTTACTAATTTAAATAATGCATATAAATTTTATACAGATCGGTTGATAACTTTTGTCGTTAGAGCATTCACAAGGTGCAACAAAGTGAAACAAGGGCCATAACTCCAGAAGAAATTAACAGAAGTTATTGAAATTAAATAGGCTTCTTCATTTCACTAATGCATAAATCAATTTCAAAACAATCATATGATAAATGGACGGAAGCAACGGCAATATACAACCACATTCCCATGTGGGCGTATAAAAAGGTAGAATGCACAACTACACCAAGTTTGAAATGGCAGATAAACTCATTTTAAAGGCATATGCCAGACATAAGTTCTGTGTTTAACTAATGTAATTCACCATGTAGACAAAAACAAACATTGGAATAATCAAAAAGTTATCCAACATACACTTACAGTTTTGTTTACATATATGTACATAACATTTCATCTTACCTTTTCAATGTGTGTTTGCATCTCAAATGGTGTATCAAACTGTTTATAACAATGTTTACATTGTGTTAAGTCACTAAGATCCAGATTCTGTTGTTTTTCACTATCAATATGACCTTGCATATGCATCATAGTTTTCACATTATTATATAACATCTTAGAACAGAACCAACACTAATAAAGATAAATAATAAACAACCAAATAATAATTAAACTGTAGGGCAATGATCACAACTAAACTTTCTTCTGAATTGTCTTTAATATCAGATTCCTTTAAACAAGTGAAGTAGATGGTTGATGATATAAATGATATGCATGAATGCACATTTTGTAAATCGCATTTAATATCTATCAGTTAAAGGAGATAATCCTTTTGAGACATTTGCCTAATGAACAAGTTTGAACATTCCAAAGTGCTCATCCATCATACTCAGTCAAGATATTCTCCTAATAAAAAGTAGGGGACAGTAAAAAGTTATTGAATTGGTTTGATCTTATTATTATTTCAATTAGCGATTCAAAACATTAAGTGGTTTAATAATTTTTGTTTCTTCATTTTAAGCTAACCGTGTCATCAGTGTAAAACAAAAATCAGTTATATCACAACACAAGATTTTATTTGTTGAAGGCATAACATTTTCAACAAAGTCAGACTGCCATTCAAAAAAAAACAACCCCAGATCAAATCCAATTTTGTTGGTTTCCAAATACATGTACACATGTTGCATTTAATTATTAAAATTAATTATATATCTACCTTGAATCTGTATTCACCTTTCTCCTCGATATATGTAGGATCACCTTCTTTCTTGCCATAATAAAACTCATCTAATGGTACCCAATTACCTACAAAAAAAACCCCACTACTTTTAGATGGATAGATGTATACTGATTTTAGCATGAATCAATACTTAATCACACTCAATCAATTGAGTATATAAAATAAAATAAAAAAGAAATAGGGTCCCAGATCAAGAAGAACATTTACAACTTATTGTACATGCAAATCAACCATTGATCATTCAACTCTATTGAACTTATGCATATATAACTATGTATGCTTCATGAAACAGGTTTCATGTAAAGAAGTAAAAAAAGATTTATAATTAGACAGATTAAAAGGCATACTTACCACTACTGTCTACTTCTTTCTTTGATAAACCTAGTCTTCTCTGACTTTCTAATTCTGCTCTTTTGTCAAACATTGTCATAGGTATCAAATTTGAAGCTTCAAGAAAGTAAAGACATATTATGTAAATACCAAGATGACACATTCAAATAAGGATTTACTAATTTATCCATTGCAAAAAGCTATAATCTATTCGGTCTTGTATTTAAGCTTAGATTAAATGCTAAATACATAAACCAATAACCAATATTTACATGAACAGTGAGACACAAAGTTTCATCTCCCAACCCCCTCTACTTTCAATTAAAAGCAAATTTTATCTTAGCCAACCAAATTGCTTAAGCAGAAAATACTCATACATTGTAATTGACCAGAGTCAAGATATAACAATCTTCTACACCAAGTTTAAATGTTTTAGCCCAAAGAAACATAACTAAGCAGACCAGACCTACCTGCCTGAATTTGAGATTGTGTCACATTAACCATAGGAGCATTCGGTTGAGGCTGCAACAAAGATAATACAATTAATAATTATCATCTTGGGCACTTCTTAATATTAAGAAACAAAATCTTACTATTTAATTCTTGACCTACATCAACACATAGAGTGCTTCTTGAAGTTGAACCAAAACAAGTCCTAATTGCAAAAACATTGCACAGGCATTGATCAAATTATTCAGTAATTCAGAAATTAGAACTCCTAAATGTATCTGAAAGTCAGAAATAATGCCATCCCAAACTTAGGCTGCCTGTCTACAGCTAGCTCCGCCTGAGAACAGGCCCTAAGCTAATTAACCAACATTTTAATTCCTACATCGACGATTTTAGTCGAAAACACCGAGTATGCTTTTAGTAATTTTTAGAAGTATTTATTTCTCTTCTTTTGTCATATTGTTGAATGAAATTAAATATGTTTATTTAGACACTGTGTGTATGAAAGATGTCAAACGAATCAAAGCCGAATAACAAAATAGTCCTATAATTATTCAATATGACGGCGCCCATGAAATATAATTTCACAGAGGCAGTTTTGTTTGCGAAGACAAATTTAGGAGTATCTCACCTTGTTTTGAAAGATAAATTGTATTGCAATATTACCCACTAGCACATATTATATATCGCTTTTACCGGAGTGGCAGAAGTTGACATTTTCCCAAAGACATGTGTTTACATAAAACATGTGCTTGATAGTGTTATTTTTACTCTGTTGTATACACAAAGCTGTAGTCCAATTATTAAGTCCCGCCCCAAAATGATCACATGAGCATTTTAAATGGAGGCTAACTAGGGCAGTGGTCATTACTCTCGAAGTATGACGTAGATGGATCGCTGCGTGCAGTTTGAAATAATGCAACATACCATAGAGTAGTGCACACTTCTGTCTCAAAGGGGATATAGTTGAATGAATTTTCAAGAATAGAAATCTCTTCAACTCAAAAATAATGACAAAAATTTTGTGAAAATGGGGTTTTGGACTACAACACTTGTGCTGACTCAACTAACCCGGTCAAATGAAACAAATTTGCTGTTTTTCATTACTTCTTAATTCAACATTAGTTATTATCTGAAATGACAGAGCTGTGATTGGACTAAATTAAAAGGCTTGATTGCAATTCTATCATTTCGGAAGATTCTGAAATGACAATCTGGCATCCCCCAATTTTCCGGTGTTTCAATGTATCAAGGGAGATCTGATAACTGAAGTAATTTGGACTAAAAAAGGATGGTTTCAATTTCGGTGCGAAACACGTATTGTTTTCGTAAGAGTTTTTATTATTATTTTTTTCTTTTTTTGCCGATTTTTAGATGTCAGAAGTTGCAGCCAAAACTGTGCATAGTGGAAACATTCTACCAACGTAGGCCGAGTTGGCCACCGTGGAACTAAATATTAAATATATATTGGGTAATTTTTGACGAACAAGAAGTGTTGCCTGTATCTCGGTTATTTCTAAACAGATCTTCTTCAGGTTTTTCGAAATTCAGTAGTTCACTCGATTAGTTTTAGCATAAAAAATTTGTGAAAGTTTTCTTCATTATTTCTTTGACATTCAAGATTGCGTATCTCTGTCACTATTTGAGATATCAAGTTGAGACTTGGTAGGAATGAGGAACATATCAATGCCTTCAAAATGGCATATTAAAAGATTTTGTGATGGCTTCCGGAAACTTCTGGAAATTTCCGAGTCCTTCCGATTTTTCGAAAACTTTTTTTTGGTATTGAACCTACTTCAAATGGCAACAATCCTTAGGGAGTCGATTTTTTAATTTCGATTTTGTTTACTTCCGGTTTCACTTTGAAGTTTGTTCGACTTTTCACCATCTAGATAGTGACCTAACCTTTCCATCACCCTTGACCTTTGTAAGTATGATGACCCTGATGTCTACTTACAATTAATATAAAAAAAGTTATGTCATGAAGTATAACTTCTGGTTTTATTAAGAGTTCAAAATGACAGGTTTTTCCACTTTAATAGGTATTGGATGTTAATACACTCCATAATTCATGGTGTAACTTGAATGTTGATGTGACGTGACATACCGAAACACATCAATACTCCTTAGGAGTTTTAGTTTTTTTATTGTATTCTGCCAAAATAGGATAATAGTTAATGCCCTCAAAGCACACTGCATGGAGCATGCCCATCTTCATTGTTGCAGATGAGAAAGAAATTGAACACCATTTCATTTGATTTATTATCTATGGAACTGTTTAAAAGCTTACCGCTACTGTCATCATGGGTCTAATAAAGATTTGATTTCCAACTTTGACAACATTGGACTGCTGACCATTTACAAATTTATAAACTTGTTGTGGAATTGCTGAAACTGGTAATGGTGGAATGGTCAAATTAGCAACAGGGGAATTACTAACAGCTTGTCTCTGTGCAACTCTTTGATTCACAGTTTTTTGTTGAGGTGGAGATTCACCAATAACTATGATATCAGGATCATTCACTTGTTGATCTTTAAAAGAAATCAAGCCAAAATTACAAAGAATAAATAACATAATTAATCTTCTAAAATGCAATATAATTCAATATGATATGTACTTGATACAAACAAATTGTGGGAACATGAATTTTTAAGTTCTAGTTAAAGAACCAATATCAAGTATTGTCTAAAAACAAGAATAACATAATTTATTTAAATCTTACCAGTTGTAGATGTGAGAGAAGTACTTGGTAAAGATTGGATCTGAACTTTACCACTCTTTACATTTTCTATATACTTAGAAACACGATTAAATTCATCTAAGGCATTTTTATAGTTATCTTTCTGACATGGTAACAAGTCTTCTTCTGTACATTCCATAAGCAATCTGACATCACTACTAAATGTGTGTTTGTTCATGGTGTACATGGCCTGCATAGAGGCTCTTCTAGTACTCTTTGGCATTTTGGTCAATTATGCCTGAAATTTAAAACTGAGTTAACATAACAGACATAGTTTCGTTTTAATAAACATTGCAGTATGGCACGCCAATAATGTGTGGCACACTAACAAGCACGTTCTGGGATCGATTCAGGTGTTGGATGGGAAATCTCCTCAGGAATTTTGAGCATGGTTTCCCATTATCCGAGGTACAAAACAGAGGGTCTAGCAAGGAACAAAGATAGGTTGCCAGGCAACGAAACATACGCCCACAGCAGCTAAGTCGTACGGGCAGTCAACAAGTGTTGTCCCATATTTTTTCTTTCGTTAGTAATGAGAACATTTACAACACATGAAAATCTGATTACGAGTAATAACCCATGAAGTAATTATTGAAAAACATTAGAATTTGTTTTGATTGTTTTTCACATGACCTTAAACAATTTATATTATTACCTTTAGCCTCTAGAGTGAATAAATGAATGAAATGGAGTTTTAGCCTCTAGAGCATCCACAAGATTTTTCAAAGTGATTAAGGGCCTTAACTCTAGCAGTAATTATCAGAAATCGTTAAAAAATGAACAGGATTCTTTGTCTCATGACCTTAAACACTGTGTATAAGTTTAAAGTCGATCAGATATTAACTTTAGCCTCAAGAGCTTTTACATGAATTTTCAAAGAGGTTAAGGGCTATAGCATAACTCTGGCAGTAATTATCAAAAATAGTTGAAAATCATTAGGCTTCTTCTTCTTATGACCTTAAACAGTGTGTATAAATTTAAAGTCAATGGGATGTTAACTTTAGCCTCTAGAGTGTCCACAAGATATTTCAAAGTGTTCAAGGGCCATAACTCTGGTAGTAATTATCAGAAAGTCATTAATAATATATCATGAATCTCCAATGCCGAATTCCCAATGACACATGATATCGGTTGGAATTAGGTCAGTAAACCAGTGATGCTAGTTTTAGTTTTAAATAGTGTTTACCGTTATGATTTTTTATTTTATACACATGCTGACACAGGCTTATTTTTTTTAAAATATTGTGGTTATTATCATTGAAAGCTATATGGCACAGTCATATGGAATTTAATTGTAAAGTCATTTATGGTTGTCACCTGATCACTGTGCCGTGTGTCTATCATGGATGAATGAAAAAAACAAACAAGCCAACAGTGAGGCTGATGTCCCCCGCCGAAATAGGAAAATAATTAGAGAGTTATTGTGTTCCAAAGTCTCAGCAAATCAAATTGCTTATCGCTCTGCTTAATCTGAGCAGAAAATGCTCATTATCGATCTTAGTCAAGGTATTACTGTAATGAAACTATACACCAAGTTTCATCACTCTCACTTAATTAGAACTAAAGTTATAGTGTCCCAAAGCATCAACCAATCAAATTGTTTATCTCTGCTTACCCTAAGCGGAACGGACAGACAAACAGACAGACGGACGAACCCATTTTAATAGTTCCCTGCTTTCTTCGAAAGGCGGGGGACAATAAGCATGAACATTTACTCAATTCGAAGATCAACCAATCAAATTGTTTATCTCTGCTTACCATAAGCGGAACGGACAGACAGACAAACAGACAGACGGACGAACCCATTTTAATAGTTCCCTGCTTTCTTCGAAAGGCGGGGGACAATCAAAGTAGGAGAGTTATTGTTTTCCAAAGTCTCGACCAATCAAATTGCGTATCGCTCTGCCTACCCTGAGCAGAAAATGCTCATTATCAAACTTAGTCAAGGTATTACTGTAATGAAACTATACACCAAGTTTCATCAATCTCACTTAATTAGAACTAAAGTTATCGTGTCCCAAAGCATCAACCAATCAAATTGCTTATCTCTGCTTACCCTAAGCTGAAAATGCTCATCTTCGAACTCCATCAAGGCATTGACCTAATCAACACATACACCAAGTTTGAACATTCTAGCTCAATTAGGAAGAGAGTTATCGTGCCCCAAAGTATCAACCAATCAAATTGCTTATCTCTGCTTACCCTAAGCGGAAAATGCTCATCTTCGAACTCCATCAAGGCATTGACCTAATAAACACATACACCAAGTTTGAACATTCTAGCTCAATTAAAAGTTATCGTGTCCCAAAGCATCAACCAATCAAATTGCTTATCTCTGCTTACCCTAAGCGGAAAATGCTCATCTTCGAACTCCATCAAGGCATTGACCTAATCAACACATACACCAAGTTTGAACATTCTAGCCCAATTAGGAAGAGAGTTATCGTGTCCCAAAGCATCAACCAATCAAATTGCTTATCTCTGCTTACCCTAAGCGGAAAATGCTCATCTTCGAACTCCATCAAGGCATTGACCTAATAAACACATACACCAAGTTTGAACATTCTAGCTCAATTAGGAAGAGAGTTATCGTGCCCCAAAGTATCAACCAATCAAATTGCTTATCTCTGCTTACCCTAAGCGGAAAATGCTCATCTTCGAACTCCATCAAGGCATTGACCTAATAAACACATACACCAAGTTTGAACATTCTAGCTCAATTAAAAGTTATCGTGTCCCAAAGCATCAACCAATCAAATTGCTTATCTCTGCTTACCCTAAGCGGAAAATGCTCATCTTCGACCTCCATCAAGGCATTGACCTAATCAACACATACACCAAGTTTGAACATTCTAGCCCAATTAGGAAGAGAGTTATCGTGTCCCAAAGCATCAACCAATCAAATTGCTTATCTCTGCTTACCCTAAGCGGAAAATGCTCATCTTCGAACTCCATCAAGGCATTGACCTAATAAACACATACACCAAGTTTGAACATTCTAGCTCAATTAGGAAGAGAGTTATTGTGTCCCAAAAAGTGTGACGGACAGACAGACGGACAGACAGAAGGACAGACAGACGGACAGACAGACAGACAGACAGACAGACAGACAGACGGACGAACCCATTTTAATAGTCCCCTGCTTTCTTCGAAAGGCGGGGGACAAAAAATGTTTGCAAGTTACCTGATAGAAAAAACACTACAAATTGTGTTATGAAGAAATACAACGGTGCCGTATCAGCTTATATCTAACAAAAAAAACAAATGTATAATCCAGTAAATTATTCAGGAATATTACTATAAATTCTAAGCCGGTACACAAATTTAATATGGAAAATTTTTTGCTGAACAGTGAACCTATTTGTCGTTATTTTTGTGCTATTTACATACAGTTAAATACATATTCCTCATAACAAATTACCAAGAATTTTTTTTGTTGAAGTCTGGTTATATTAAAGGGAATGGAAGCTTAAAATTTTAAAACCCAGTTCCTACTGGGACCTCATTTGACCCAATTCTGGCCGGTTCATTTCAAAATGGATTAAGAACCCTGGGTTTAAGTCTGGACTAAGGGCTGGCCATTTGACACCGTTCTGCTGTAGAAAGTCCCGAGTAACTATAGGGTCCACAACTCAGCCTTCCTAAGGGTGTAACGGTGATATAATAATACGGTTTTTTAAATCGGATAAAAATTATGACCTCTATAGGGTCCACAAGCTGAAATCGCGATTTTTAGTACAGTCAGGGGCCATAATTCAGGAAGTTACGGTCCGATATGCGCGAATATCAAAAGGAACCGAGATCTTATGGTTATAAACTTACATTGCAAGTTTCAACAAAATTGGATAAAAATTGTGACCTCTATAGGGTCCACAAGCTAAAAACGTGATTTTTCGTACAATCAGGGGCCATAATCCATGAAGTTTTGATCCGATACATGCCAATATCGAAAGCAGCCGAGATCTTTTTGGGATAAACCTATATTTCAAGTTTCGTCAAAATCGGATAAGAATTGTGACCTGTAGAGAGTCCACAAACAATTGTGGACGGACGGACAGGGGCGACAGCATACTAATAAATCGGATAAAAATTATGACCTCTATAGCATAGGGTCCACAAGCTAAAAACTCAATTTTCGTACAATCAGGGGCCATAATTCAGGAAGTAACGGTCCGATATGCGCGAATATCGAAAGGAACCGAGATCTTTGGGTTATAAACTTACATTTCAAGTTTCAACAAAATTGGATAAAAATTGTGACCTCTATAGGGTCTACAACCTTGATATTTTTACACTCTTTTCAGAACGAAGGGTGGCCATTTTGTCTGTCAGTTTTGGGCCGATTTTCACGAAATTCGAACTCAGCCACCCTTAGGGTCTAACGGTCATATAATAGTACATTTTCATTTTAAATCGGATAAAAATTATGACCTCTATAGGGTCCACAAGCTAAAAATGCGATTTTTCGTTCAATCAGGGGCCATAATTCAGGAAGTTACGTTCCGATATGCGCGAATATCGAAAGGAACCGAGATCTTTGGGTTATAAGCATACATTTGAAGTTTAAACCAAATAGGATAAAAATTGTGACCTCTACGGTGGTTACAAGCTAAAAACATGATTTTTCGTACAATCAGGGGCCATAATCCATGAAGTTATAGTCCGATAGATCCCAATATCGAAAGGAGCCGAGATCTTGTGGACAGACGGACAGGGGCGACGGCATAATAATAAATCGGATAAAAATTATGACCTCTATAGCATAGGGTCCACAAGCTAAAAACTCAATTTTTCGTACAATCAGGGGCCATAATTCAGGAAGTAACAGTGCGATATGCGCGAATATCGAAAGGAACCGAGATCTTTGGGTTATAAACTTACATTTCAAGTTTCAACAAAATTGGATAAAAATTGTGACCTCTATAGGGTCTACAACCTTGATATTTTTACACTCTTTTCAGAACGAAGGGTGGCCATTTTGTCTGTCAGTTTTGGGCCGATTTTCACGAAATTCAAACTCAGCCACCCTTAGGGTCTTACGGTCATATAATAGTACATTTTTTTTAAATCGGATAAAAATTATAACCTCTATAGGGTCCACAAGCTAAAAACGCGATTTTTCGTACAATCAGGGGCCATAATTCAGGAAGTTACATTCCGATATGCGCGAATATCGAAAGGAACCGAGATCTTTGGGTTATAAGCATACATTTGAAGTTTAAACCAAATAGGATAAAAATTGTGACCTCTACAGTGTTTACAAGCTAAAAACGTGATTTTTCGTACAATCAGGGGCCATAATCCATGAAGTTACAGTCCGATAGATGCCAATATCGAAAGGAGCCGAGATCTTAGGGTGATAAACCTATATTTCAATTTTCATTGAAATCGGATAAAAATTGTGACCTGTAGACTGTTCACAAACAATTGTGGACGGACGGACAGGCCGTCCGTCCGGACGGACAGAGGCGACAACAATATACATCCACATGAAAATGTGGGCGTATAAAAATTATAACCGATGGTCGCCCTGGAAGTGAAGAACCAGACTCGACTTGATTGGTTGTTTTTACCACATGGTTATTTCATAGCGTCTTTCAAAAATGGCAGCTTTCATGCAAATGTGAATTGGTTTTGAATTTTCAACATTAAATTCTTTATAAGACTTAGAGGCAATTAAGTCTTTAAAAAATGAAAACAATGTTTGAGGTGCCATTTCCTCAAATGCATAAAAATATCAACCAATTTGGATATCAGGACCCTTTCTTTACTTTAGTCTAGTTTGTAGAGGTTAGGAACAAGATAAAGATCTGTTCCTTTAATCCACTGCCTAATATTATTGGTAGGCTACATATAGTACATCAAAATGAAACTGACTTTGTTGTACAAAATAGGTGTAGCCTAGACCAAATGGGTTTAATCATACTCCTAGTAGTAGCCTAGTAAGTAAGATTAATAAGACTGAACAGCAGGAGGACCGCACTACACAAAACCCATTATATTTTCTAGCTTGGGCTAATGTAATGTAATGTATTCGATTATTTCCCTTTCTTTCATACAGCTATCGCATAAGTTTATTGTCACCTGGATAATCGATTACAAATACAATGTTTGATTGAGTATATATTGCATCAAAAGAATTCATAACTCATAACATAAGTGACATCACTATTTATATGACGTCACACTATCAAGATTCTCGTAGCCTTCCCGAACTTCATTCCAACATGGCGGATAAAGTTGCCATTTCCTAACAATCGGTCTCTTTCATGTCTGCCAGAAACATTGAATATATGTTTTTCACCCCGCATATTATGCCGTTGGGTATTAACAGTCTGAAAACAGACGAAATAGGTCGGTTTTATATTAATTACCTATCGAAAAGTCTCATCAACTCCGGTTAATCAAGAACCACAAATCATTTTTCGTGCGAGCACTATGTCACGTGACTGCATTTTGGTAATATTCTTACCTTTTTTCTGTTAATTAATTATTGATAGTATATGTTTATATGAATATGATGTTGTCAAATTATAAAAAAATGACCAAATAATGTAAAACCTGTTATCTAAAATTGATTGGCGAAACATTAATTTCATTTAGTAACGAGGCTATTTTATCGTATTCACTGTATCCAATTTGTTGCGGAGATTAAATTCTGGATTTCTTAGCAGACAGCGGATAATGGAGATATTGACAAAGTGCGACAGATGACAGTCTAGTCATATGCTGGCAAAAGGAAACCTTTATCTTAGATGTTGGTTGATAAAGAACTAGAAGAGAAGCAGTTGTCTCTGTCTTCATTACAATAAGTATAAATATCATAATAGTAAGGTTGTAGCAATGGCAGAAGCTCGATCTGCAGTAACTGAGCCACGGGTGCATGAAATCGAAGAAGGAAAAGATAACACAAGTGAATTTTATTTGGCATTTCGTCAGTGGCGAAGATCGCTCGTAAGAAGATTCTACAGGACAAGGTATATATATATACAACTGTATACATTTGCAAGAAGAGATGAAATTAGCACGATTTTCCAAATCTACCCAAATCATCCACCAAAATCTACCCAAATTCCAAATATATGCACCATTAGGCTATTTCAACTATATTATATAGGAATAATTTATAGGTCTATTTGATAATAATAATATACCGTTCTTTATGCCAAATTGTCATTTTTAATTTAAAATCGTATCGTTTTTATTTCAAAAATGTCTTTGCAAGTGCAATTTTCCAGCAAGCGATTTCGTGCAATACAAGAATTACTCAATTAGGCTATGTCCGTCCCTAAAAAAGTCAAGTGGGAAATTGGTTACAACTTCCAAACTTGTTCGGAAATCGTGCTACCCTAATATCATTATCAATAATGATAGCAGCTCGTTAGATGTGGGACAGTTATAAACTTATAGTGACAGTCTGTACTATGTGACACAACTTAATAATGATCTACTTTTAAGTATACTTTACAATTTCTTTCAGATAGATAGGCCTAATAATATCTAATCTGAATGTTGAACTGTTTATATGCCCAATAACATTACTCAATTAGGCTATGTCCGTCCCTAAAAAAGTCAAGTGGGAAATTGGTTACAACTTCCAAACTTGTTCGGAAATCGTGCTACCCTAATATCATTATCAATAATGATAGCAGCTCGTTAGATGTGGGACAGTTATAAACTTATAGTGACAGTCTGTACTATGTGACACAACTTAATAATGATCTACTTTTAAGTATACTTTACAATTTCTTTCAGATAGATAGGCCTAATAATATCTAATCTGAATGTTGAACTGTTTATATGCCCAATAACATGTTGGTTATAATATATATATGTTTTACAAGGCAGGAGCGTAAAATAATAAAGCACTAGCCATTGCCTGTTTTTGTCTTGGTTGGGATGGTGTCATGTCAGAAGTTCAGCATGTACATATATCATCATATCAAATTTGGTGAAAAATGTATGTAGCTGAAACCCTATAGATACATGTATGAACATGTATTATATAAGATGAGCTTACTGTTTGTATGAGTGTATTACTGTACAATGTACATGTATGTGTATTCTATCTATGTGATGTGTATTATTAAATGTATATTAATGACTATGTCTAAGTGTACGTCTAATGTTGTTCTTAATGGATTTCAAAATTTTATGATTTGAAATGTCAAACACAGAATTATTATTCTGTTCAATTTTTGTTTTACTTTTAAAACCTAGTACAGAGTTCATAATCAATTTGTTAAAACATGGTCTGTACCAGTGTGTAGGATTTCAGTCATTGTTTTTTAAGGCGAACGATCGCTCTCGAGCACCTGCTACCACGGGCGTGGATTTAGGAGGGAGGGGGGGTCTCTGTCCCCCCCATGATTTTGATCGCCAGGACAGATTTTCAGGTTTATATCCACATGATGGTGAGCTTGTTTCTACGTATCTGGAACTGAATCGGGACTTGGAACAAGAATTGCCATTTTTCAAGCGCCAGTTTTCGGCCAAATCTATTTCACTTGTGCACGAAGCTTTCCTCATTATGTCACCTGAAGTGAGGCAGACGTTCCCTTCCCTCGAAGCTCTTCTCATCTCACACTGCTGAACCCTGTTAGTTCCTGCTCAGCCGAATGATCCTTCAGCACTCTGCGCCGTATCAAAACTTGGCTGCGCAACTCCATGACGCAAAACCAACTGAGCCACTTGATGGCATGTGCGGTGCATAATGACCCCCTTCATGTCACCAAGATATTCAAAGAGAACAGTCCTGATAGTAGAACGAACTTCTTTGGACGATTCTCTTAACTTTATGAACAATTAATATTTATGTAGCTTTGATGTAGGTAGTCAGTTTTTCCATATTGTCATCATATTACTCCTAGTTACAGCCTTCATCGAAATAACACTGGTACAGTAAACTGTTCGTAATTGTTTATTTCGTTTGGTAATGAAATGTTCCAGATTCCAGGGTTCGTCCGTCCCCCCAAAAGTTATGACAAATCCACGCCCTTGCCTGCCACTCACCTGAATGTCAACCGAGGGGATTCCCCCCCCCCCCTAAAACTGAAAATCGCTCTCCTTTACATAGTCATTGGGGGTTTATTATCATTTATGAAACCAGGAATGACCCCATTACATGCAGTTATTGGTCTTAGAACCGTTTCCCATGCACATAACTAATTAATCTCCTTAATATCAGATCACTCTCCTTAATTTCTAAATCACTCTTATCAAAAATGGGAGACTTTTTTGAGGGGAGCGATTTTTTCAATTCGTTGATTGAGGGGAGATTTTTTTGGCTCTCCTTTGAAATACAAGGAACAACGACTGGGATTTGTTGACAATAATTTTAGATTTAACATTCAAAACTATGCAGAAATTCCTGGTAAAAACAAAATATACTCTTCAAAAAAAGTAGGGGATATTCAGAAACAATACAAAACTTCAGAAATGCACTGCTGTTTTTATAAGATGTAACCAGTGTATGTTTATAACAGGCCAATTGCCTACACATGAACAAAAACAGTTCATATGGGCGGCTTATCTCTCGCAAAGAGATACACTGTCAAAAGTGAAAATGGAAGTTTTTGATTTTTGTCTTAATAATGAGTAATTGCTCCACCAATCCTCAGACATTCAGCAATTCGTCGTAGCTTGCTCCTAATCAACCGTCGAATCACGATTTGGGGCATTCTGACCCACTCCTCTTGCAGTGCCACGGCCAATTCTTGCAGTGTTGTCGGTTGACGTTTACGAACACGTCTCCTGATCAAATTAAACGTAACACACTAAAGCAAAGATACGCTAAACAGTAAATCTTATGCAAGAACCGATAGGAAAGCAAACATGGATAGGATAAACCAGCAAGCGGCAGTTTTCATCAACCCTTCCTTGAAGTGTCAAATTTGACAATGAACCCATCCCACGTATATGGCGCTATTGCGTGTCGCACACGCAGCTCAGTGGTTCTGTTGGGGCAAAAATTTCTTCATCTGTAAACATACTCTCAAAGAATTTCAAGTGTCCATAACTATTTATCATATCACAACCTGCATAGGTATTTGTATTTCAATATCCCCTACTTTTTTTGAAGAGTATATAAATATAATACTCATGAACTTCTGTTGATATTCAGGAGATTAATAGTTATATTTTCTATCAACATGGCACAAGCATACATTTTTTAATTAATACCAGATTTCTTCAGGTCTACTCTTTGGTTCAATGGGGGGGTTGGATGGCTGAATGGTTAGCGTGCGCGCGCTGTATCATAAAGTCTGTCATTGAGTCGACTGGCGTGGTTTCGAATCCCCGGTTGTACGTGGCAAGGAGTAGGGTCGCCTGTCCAACCTCGTGGGTTTTCTCCGGGTCCTCCGGTTTCCTCCCACTGCTAAAGACCCCTACGCGCAAGCGAATTATGTAAATAAAATTATAACCATATGTTAGTCCCGAAATGACCTAGTTTGTGTCGAGTGGACGTTAAACCCCATTTATCCCTCTCCCTTTGGTTCAATTCTCCAATAAATCTGATTTATCAGAATGTCAGAATGAAAAGTTTATATTAAATTTTCAAAAAAATATTTTAATTTGATCTGGTTCCTACCAATATACATGTATGTTCCATCATTATTTCTAATGATCTGGACAAATCAAATCATAGACTCAAATTAATTGCCCAATAAGCACACCATAAATTAAATTGTTTAATTTATTTACTTAAACATGCATTATGCAAGAGCAAAATCTGCTTATTACAAGTCTTTCTTTAGGCCTGAAATGTTATCTAAATTATCAATTAGACATTAATTAACTTATCCAGACCATAATAAACTGTCGATGTCAAGCCTAGCCTTCGATGTTGGCTGGATTAGATTCCTATATGCCGCTAACGGCTATTGATAATTAAATCAGAAAAAGTGGATAATCGAGACTTTGCTGTTTATATAATGATTTTAGTAATGATGACCGAGACTATGCAAAAATTTCACCCGCTTCTTTCTCGGCTCATAGTGGATCAATTTGACTGAAATTTCCAGCAAATTACCTTTACACTATCTAGATTTTAACTATTATAGCGAGAACTGCCATCTCTTTATCTTATCTCCCATAATGTATCTTTAAATTACTTATTAGTTTTTCTAATTTGATTATTGCAGAGTTAACTGTAACCAGTTGATAGCAAGTCAATTAAATAGATGACACATATTAATTAATTGCACATTTATCTTTTTCAAAAGTATCGACTAACTATACACTAAGTTTCATCACTCTCCATCAGTTAGAATCAATGTTATCTAGTCCGAAAGCTTTGAGTAATGAAATTGCTTAGCTCTGCTTAGCCTTAGTGGGAAATGTTAATGAACGCCTACACCAAGTTTGAACATTCTACCTCAATTAGAAGGAGAGTTATTTTGTTCCAAAGTCTTGACCAATCAAATTGCTTGTTGCTCTGCTTACTCTGAGCAGAAAATGCTCATTATCGAACTTAGTCAAGGTATTGAAGTCATGAAACTATACACATATATAATTCATCTACATGTACATGTATTGACCTGTTTATTGGCCAACACCTTGAGCATATATGTACATGTATAGGGAGCCTGCATGGCAAGCCCCCATTTATATGCTAACATATATTTGTTGATCTTTTAATATACTTTTTTTCATTTGTTTACATTTTTATATATATTTTTAAAAGATTTAGATAGTGTTGTTTTAGAAAATATCCCACAACAGATAATAACAATGGGTTAACCACCAGATTTCATCCATCAGTTTAATTGACAAACATGGAGATCAAAGTCCAAAAACAGATTCGTAGATCAGTTTTCTCAATTAAATATAGGTTATCAATATTTCTGATGTTTTATTTAGACCGTAAGATTTATTTATAATAGTATCCCAAAAAACAAACCGGAATATGTATGCTACATGTATGTACCGGTAGTAGTATTTCTAAGAATAATTTAGTATATGTATAAAAACAGTT